CAGGTCGCCCTTTTAATTTACTACAAGACAAATGTGCCTTTTTATTTCATACAGTTCAATTTGGATTGAGACAGGGAAATAATCTAAACCTCACGCGTGGTGTTTCACTGTCGGGGGAGCGTGTATGTAATTACATTGCAAATACTGACTTGAGCCCCACCACTGTATGGGTTAGCCCTACCATAGATTACCCAACAAAAATACTCTGGAGCCGCAACTGCCGACCCGTATTGCGCATGCGAAATGATAACAAAGTAAAAGTCTGCTGCTTATTGTTCTACTAGGCCAAAATAGAGTCAAAGAGTATATGAGAGTGAGAGTGTGTTAATTCATATATTTGGCAGTTTGGAGTAAGTCTGTAGATTTGTTTGTGTGTGTGTGTTTCATGTATAGGCCTCTCACAATAATTAATTTTGTTGGATACATTTTCCCGGAAATTATTGCGATAAACGATAATATTGTCGGCACCGTTGTATGACCATTTTAGACCACTGACATAATGATAATATATAATAATAATTCAAGTACATCCTTTCAAACTGCTAGTCACATCCTCATGTAAATGGCAATTTATCGAGGTCAGAAAAGTTATCGAGTTCATTTTTATTTATCGTACGATAAGTCAATTAATTGCTTATGCAGGCACACAATAAAACAGTGGAAACAAACATGTTTGACTTTCATTAGTGAATGAAACTGTGTGCCCTTTATAGTCTGTGTCCATTATTGTGTATTTGTATATATTGTAGTGCCGAGAGAAGGGAGTCGGAGGCTGTGCAATGAAGGTACAAAGCTGGCTTTATTGAGCAGCAGAAATGCACATGCTGTCGGGTCGCAGCCCGGGAAGACAAGAGAAAGCGAAAGGGAGGGCACGCAGTAAGTACCAACAACATATATGTCCGTGTGGAAACAGTACCCCCAACCTGTAGTTCCATGATTGGATTATGTAACCCCAGTGTATGAATCAGTGATCACTACACAAGCCCCCCCAGAATTCAAACATGGCACAATCCTCACGTCCGGGAGGAAGCACCACAGGTGCGGAGAAGCGCGGGGCCGCGGGAGAGGGCCGGGCCATGGAACGGGCCGTCGGAAGGGGGCTGCAGAAGAGGGCAGGAGCCCCAACGAGGGCGAGGGCATCCCCACCGGGGGTGGGGGGCGGGCCGTCGTAAGGGGGCCGCGGTAGGCGTCGTGGCGAATGAAGAAAACCTCCGCCAGCCATAAAAAACAGGGCCGCTGTGCTGCGACGTGGGGACGGGCGTGAATATCCCGGTGGTCCCCAGCAGGGAGGAGCGCTGCCCGGCCGCAGGCGAAGGCACAGCGGCGGCGGGTACGAAGTCCTCGGGAGGAAGGAGCCGTGTCCCCGGGAGGAAGGAGCCGAGGCGAGGGAAGAGGCCAGACAGGGTCCCGAAGCGCGCCACCCACGGGCCGATGAAGGCATGGGCGACGTCCGAAACCGTAGAGTCGAGGCGAGACGGGGTCCAGAAGCGCGCCAGCCACGGACCGAAGAAGGCATGGGCGACGTCCGAAGCCGCCGTCGAGGTGGTGAAAAAGCGAGAGGGTCCACACGAGGCCGACGAGACATGGTCGAACCTCCTCTCAGGCACCAGAAAAAAACTCGAAAAGGTCGTCCTGTCCATGATTAAAAACAGATGGGCGAAGTTGTGAGAGGATCCACACGAGGCTGACCAGACTTGATCGAACCTCCTCTCCGGCACCACAAAAAAAAAGGGGCTAACAGTCGGATGTCGTTAGCCGCTAGCTGCTAGTCGCCAGCTGTCCGTTAGCCGTTAGCGAGCGCAGCTGGACATGCAGCCGCATGTCCCGAATAAACCAGGCATCGTCGTGTATCGGCTCCATGGAAGGCTTGCTGTCCCCCAGTGCCGAAAAGCCGTGGAAATGGCGAGCGTTGTCCGCGGCCATTCCGGAGGGCGCACCGAGCCACAGTCCGTGTGCACGTGGCAGCCATGGACGTCCCCAAAAATCTCCGGCATTTCGAGAAAAACAGTGTCTGTTTTTTGCCGTGTTCGGTCCAGTCTCGGATCCTTCGCGAGACTTATGTCGGGGTCACCAATGTAGTGCCGAGAGAAGGGAGTCGGAGGCGGTGCAATGAAGGTACAAAGCTGGCTTTATTGAGCAGCAGAAATGCACATGCTGTCGGGTCACAGCCCGGGAAGACAAGAGAAAGCGAAAGGGAGGGCACGCAGTAAGTACCAACAACATATGGCGCATTTCCACTACACGGCCTCGCTCGGCCTCGCTCGGTATGGCTAGGCCTCGTTAGGACTGGCTCACTTTATGGCGCATTTCCATTACAGTTTAGGAACTGGGGTAGTATCTATAGTAACGCAGTGTAGGCAGAGCCGTGACGTCATCTTCAATGAGAACCCCAGAAAAACAACACAGCCGTTAGCTGTTAGCACTCAGAGCTCACAGCTCCTCATATATGTTCAGAAACTAGACAAAAGTTAAACAAGTACAAACCACAGACTGCCTGTGTCATGGCGAGTACAGTCGCTGCTTTATTTATGTCTGTATAGGCCGTTGTTGTGAGTGTGGACGGTCGGAGCATATACTGCGTTAGCTTAGCCAATCTCCATTTAGAAAACACGCATTTTAAAAGGTGTTTCGCCTGCCGTCTGTCTGCAGACTTGTCAAAGCATTAATTCATGGTTTCTACTAACCGGTATCAGTATGTTGTTACTTCGGCATCATTTTGAAACGTGTATTACAATTAAATCACGGTCAAATATGTCCATCTTGTTGTAGTTGTAGCTCCCTTGCCAGCGATTCTCTCTCTAGTTTAGCATACTCAGCCCGACTCAGCCTCATTGTTCCTGGCCCTAGAACCACGATTTGATGAGGCCAGAAAAACTGTGAATTAGGACCCGCTAGCCGGTACTAGGCCAAGTGGAAACGCAACCAAAGACGGGCCGCTGACGTCACAGCTCTCTTAAAGGGGGCTCCGCGCTGTAGTGGAACCGCGCCAATATATGTCCGTGTGGAAACAGTACCCCCAACCTGTAGTTTCATGATTGGATTATGTAACCCCAGTGTATGAATCAGTGATCACTACAATATTGTATATATATCCTATATATATGCTAAGGTCTCGCTGCTGACACGATAGCAGTCATTTCGTGCGCATATGTGTAATTAAACCCAATTAAACCCATGATATCAAAATCTCACTCCAGCCAGGTACCCAAAGTTGGCAACCCTGCTAACACACTAAACAAAGACTGTTCACATGGCAAATATAACGCCTGCTTAACATCAGAATGTTAGTATTGTCATTGTGAGCATGTTGGCATACCGATGTTAGCATTAGCTCAATGCACTGCTAAAGAAGAACCTAGTAGGCTACTGTATGGCTGCAGACTATTTGCATTGTTTCCCTTTCGACAAAGCCACCTGAAACATATCCATGTTCCGAGGGACCTATGTCCATCAAGCTGATATCTTCGTAATATGACACAATAAAAAAGTGTTTTATGATCTCAAGAATGTATTTGGAAATGTTCTCAACATTCCGCTTATAGCCGACTGATGTTACACCACCGTGAGGAATGGATTTTTACCATTCAAACTGCACTCACCTTCACTAACCAATTTCTTACAATGTTAGTTCAAATCAAGACCATGGCACATAGAGATAACCCCAGTCAGGGCATTCGTTTTCAGTCTTTATGCTAAGCTAATAGGTTGGTAGCTTTAGCTTCTCATTTACCACAAGAGCTCTGTATCCTCTCAGCAACAATGCAAATGAGCAAATATACAGAAGTCGATCTACTGCAAGATGATACAACTCATTGGTAAAACTGATGCGTAGTGATGTGTTTACTTTTTCTTTATAATTTCTTTTAAATAAGAGCTTCTATGCATGTTTGCTTATCCTGAAGCACTAAGAGCTTTTCTATCTACACTACATTTAGACTCACAAATGTCTATCACGGCGTGTGGTTTTGTGTATTCAGTGTCCATGTCTTATACATTTGTGTGTGTCCCCTTGCTCTTGGTTTAACCCAGCCTCTCTTCACTGTGCCGCAGTGCCCGGGGACGCCCTGACCTCCCGGTTACCTCGTCTCACTGAAGGCTTCAGTGTTCAAACTGAGTTCAACATGTAAAGAGCTCCAGCAACCAGGAGCAGCTTGTGGTGGCATCTTTTATTAACAGCAGTATTACATATTCACCTTCACACACCACTGTCAGCCATCCCCTCCACCTCTCGTCCATTTCTACTAAACTCTTGATCCTTTAGTTGCTAGAGGAAATCACTTCCCTGCCTTCCGTCTATATACTGTTCTTTCAAGATTGTAGAATATCCATTCACAGAATTGTTTTTGCATTTGATATTAAGTGCAACTTCATTTTCACTTTCTAAATTTTGAACGGATTTACTTATTAAATATTCGGTACTGTGGGTTGGGGGAATGTAGAGTGATTTAAAGTATTAGGTGCTAAAATAAGGACAAACTGCACAAATAAAGCTTACTAATCTAAAAGGACATCAATGCGATAAACATGTCAGCTATAGAACAGTTCTCCTGAAACAGCTTGCACTATTGCATGTGGTTATAGTTTCAGATTTGACACCGTGAATCACTTTGACTTTGCAATTTGTAAGCATGCCTTCTTTAATTCTTTCTTGGTCTTTCAAGGCAGAGAAAAAGTCCCCTTTAAATGAAAAAGAAATACTGCACAATCTCGGTAGGTCAAATCCTCCTAGTAGTAGTCGTACATGTATTTTACATTCCCATAAATGTACTTTGAGCATTCAATTCCCAATGGGAAATATTGCCCTGAGCTGTTCCTCATGTTGAGTACATGCATGTTCTTCTCTTCTTTAAAGCAGTTGTGGAGACAAACGTCATGCAAATTAATGCAAACAAATATTGGTTGATTGGTCAAGTAACTTTTTGCTTTGCAATACCAAAACAAACAAATAATGATACATGCTAAAAATGATTAATCCTGTTTCTCCCCGTGTGTTTATCCAGGAGGATGTTCCCCTTCCTAAGCTTCAACATCAGTGTTCTAGACCCGTCTGCTCACTATAACGTCTCCGTGGACGTGGTTCTGGCGGATCAGCACCACTGGAGGTACCAGGGCGGCAAGTGGGTCCAGTGTGGCAAAGCGGAGGGCAACATGCCAGGTACTTTAAATCAAAACACAGGATAATAAATGAAAGTCAATGGATTGCTGCTTTTTTTTATGAGTTTTCTCCCTTAATGTGGTTTTGCTTTAATTAAGTTAAAGATTTGAGTACTTTTAGTCACCGAGAAAATGTCTTCTCTGTTTGTTTTTTTATCGATTTGACATCCCTTGAATTAAAGTGACAATAATTGTTCATGAAGTTATCCATCATTTAAGTTGATGTATTTTTTATTTAAAGCTGCAAAGATTGTTTATGTTTTACGTTATACTTGTGCCAATTGTAGGACCTTAACAAATCGGACACTTAGCTCCATAGCCATAAATGGACAAAAAAAAGATGTGCTCACATTTTGTTTCGCATTTTCTGACAAAAGTATATGATCTACAACCAGCTGAGGAGCAGAGACCCTTAACAATCAATAATCGGAAGCATGCAACTTATTGCGTGCAAAATTGAAGAATTTTTTGAGGAAGTGGTTTAGTTAGCAATATTGTAACCAACCTACATGCATACATTAGAGAAACCAAGATGAGCATCACCATACACAAGTATTGAGAGGTTTCTGTGGACATGTGTGAGATTCTATTTGCTGTTGTTGAGGTCAACAGCTTCTTCTGACATCCTGCAGAGATTGTGTGAGCAATTCAGAAAGTATGCATTGCTGGGTAAATATTCCTTTAAAGCTAAATGGGCTACAATTATGTCTAAATGATGGCCCTTATGAAGTAATCAATGTCCAATGAAAACATTTTTAGTAATTATGAGTTCATTTTTGTCACTTTATAGTAGATTATACCGGCTTAAATTCACTGGATATTTGTTTTGTAGGCCATTAAGACCTAGGTCACCTTCCTTCATATTTTACAGCTATAAATAATACAAAATGTAAAGAAACAAATTAATTTACTGCATGCATGTAGGTTATACGATAATGAATTTCAGCAGCAATGGGTGGAGATCTCAAAATCAGGCAGGCAGATAGGATAAAGGGAAACTTACTCAAGAAAATGGTCAGGAACAGGCTTACCGGCTGACAACAGGTTGGCAGTGAAAAGAACCCGATCTCTGAGCACAGGAAACAAAAAGCAGGAGCAAGAGGAAATGGGCCGGTTAAATACTGCAGGGCTGTTGAGGGAGAGTGGAAACAGGTGAGCAGGTGAAGCAGAGAGTCAGGTGACTGGAACAGGTCGGAAAAGTCTGAGGGCATCTGGTGGATGGAGAATGGCGTCCAGGGGGTTGTAGGGAGGGACAGAGACTGTGAAAGTTGGTGTTGGATAAGAAGGTGGGGAAAGAAGCATCAATTACTTAAAATAAATTGGAAATAAAACAAGTTTAAGAGTGCATTTAGGTTTAAAAAGCTTTATGGGCCTTAGTGCAGATGTTATCAGCTCCATAAAACATGGCCTATTCGATGTACCAAGTTTCAAAAAGAGCCAGACATATATATTATATATTGGCCAATATTAAGTTATTGCATATGTATTGTATCAGTACATATGTCAGCTAATAACTATTGTTGCATGACAGACATGCAAAACTAGGTTTGAGAAAGTTTGTCAATCAGAATTAAATTGTGTTTTATGTATCTTGATCGCAAATTGTCTATGAAATAAATCTACAGGATTGTGTATCAACATTGCTTCTTAATGTTCAAATTTAGAAGCTGCCCAATGAAATTCTTCCATCTCCCATGTTTTTGTTTTTGCTTACCTGTTATTGTTTCTTTACAGTTTTATAAATTAAGTATTTGGGATATTCTTAGCCCATGAAAGGATGGCATACTGGAGATAGATGATATTTCATAGCAGTTTTCTGCTTCAATCCATGTTACGTTCTCCCCGTTGAACAACTATTTCTTCGTTTAACAACTATTTCTTCCTGTTCACACCTCGTAGAAAAAAACACAATAGTCAGCCAAGATTAAATGTTGTGTGTGATTGAGGATTAGCCACATTTATAGAAATAAAAGAGAAAGTACAGGGTGTTGTCACACGTATACCATGTGTTGGGGAAAGGTGACTGCTGATGTGCTACAGTTGTGGAAACTGTGGTAAAACAACTTTTGTCAATTAAATTTAATAGTTCATTTATGTGGTCTGATCGTAAAAGGTTAGCAAGGCCATTGTGGTAAGGCTGTGAGACATCATGTCGCTGCGATAATATCCTGCAATAAGAATATTTATTAAATATAAAAGGGATGGAAACTATGGCATTTTAACTGAGATGAATTTGATTGTAGGTCACATAATGGACTGTTTTTAAAACAGCTCCTCACATTCCACCCTTTAAACTTAATCAACCAAGGAGAGCGATGTATTGTGTTGGACAAATATTAGCATCAAATAAGTGTCCAAAAGCATCAATAATTATGTTTTTATGAGTGTTATGGGCAAAAGAAATACTCTCAAAATGTAATACATATTGCTCATGGTGTTTTTTTGCACTTACAGGAAACCGGATGTACACGCACCCTGACTCTCCCAACACAGGAGCTCACTGGATGAGACAGGAAGTGTCCTTCAGCAAACTCAAGCTCACCAACAACAAGGGCAGCACCAATAATGTTGGACAGGTACAATTTCCTGTTCTTTGCCTTCCACCTTTTGTCTTTTCATTCATGATATTAACACTAATTTGTGTTACACTTTTGAAATATACACAAATAAGATAGTAGTATTAGGTTCCTTGGACACTTGGTTTGATCCAGCCAAATGCCTTATTTTCTCTCTGTTTTCTTTACATTTCCTGTTTGATTATAATTTATTTTCTGTCAAAAGGTGTAAAAAATACCTGTCTTTCCTCTTCAGATGATCGTGCTCCAGTCGCTCCATAAGTACCAGCCTCGCCTTCACATCGTGGAGGTGAAGGAGGACGGCTCTGAAGACCCCTTCCTTTCATCCAAAGCTCAGACCTTCATCTTCCCCGAGAATCAGTTCATCGCTGTCACCGCTTATCAAAATGCAGATGTAAGTCTTATTCATAGTTTTTTGTAATTGTGAATTTATGTTAAATCCACTCTGACACGGATTTACCTATGATTAGGGAAACTTCATTTATTTAATTTCCACACTTGTTTATTGCAAGATCTACTGAATTCACAACAGCATCTCTTCTCCACCATCTTATTTATATATAGAGTTCAATGATTCATGTTACAGTCATGCTTAAATAGAAGCTTTGGTTAATGCATGTGCGCATCGAAAATGCACACACTCTTATTAACAATCCTTCAATCTACTGTAAGTGTTCACAGCAGTTACTATACAGTGGCTGAGTTCAACTAAAAGTCACTTCACCTTGTTTGACCTGCTGTAGCTCCACAATACGTGCTGTATATATCGATAACAGCTGTTCAAATACATTGTGTAAGAGTTACTGTAATCCAAAGCATACACTCGCCCTGTTTGTATGATGGTGTGTTCTAAAGATAAACTTTCCAATTGCCTTTTATCCTCATTAATTATTACTCAATGACCTCCTCTGTCTCTGTGCACTTGTTTCTCTTGTGTGGTTGCTCACTGCTTCTCTTTTTTCCTAAGCCTACATTCTCTCATTGCCCTCCTCCTATTCCTTACACAGATCACTCAGCTGAAAATAGACCATAACCCCTTCGCTAAAGGTTTCCGCGACAATTACGACACGTAAGTCAACTATTTAAAAAAGCTAGATTTGGGGAAACAACATACAGTTACTCTTGTACTTCCCTTGTTTATTGAACCTTGCATTTTCTTTGCTAAATTATTGCTGGTGCATGTTAAGTGTTTCCCTTTACTGTAAATATTAGAATAGGTGCAATTCTGCTCGAGCGTGCTGCAGTGTGAGGGTGTGAGGGGCTGTGAGAAGTTTGATAGATGGTTTGAGGTTTGGGCAGGAAATAACACCTTATTTTTTCTTCTCTTCTCACACTCTCGTCTCTTCCCCTCCTGCCTAGGCTGTATGCTCCTCCCGACTCTGATCGCCTCACCCCCTCCCCTACTGAGAGCCAGCAGCTGCTGCCAGGGAGCTGCTACCCCCAAGGCTACCTCTCTGAGCAGTACATAAGCCCACTTCCTCAGAGCCGCTTCTACGGCCGCGAGCCCCTCGGTATGGGCCAGCAGCACAAAGACCCGTCCTCCAGCCCGGGTCCTCACAGCCGCTGGTACCTGCCGCCTCAGCAGGGTGTGGCCACCAATCGTCTCGACTTCACTTCCTCCTACGAGGGGGACTTCTCTGGAAACGGGTTCTACAAACCCTTCCCCTTGCAGACTTCCGCTCACCATGCCCTCAGCTACTACCCAGACCTCCCTTTTGCGTCTACGAGCGTGTCTGTATCAGGAGCCACTCCGGCGGGCTGGACCACCAGCCGGCCCACCCCTCAGTACCTCAGCCATCAGAGTAAGCCCGGCCCCAGCCTGGGCTGGTTCAGACCCATATCGTCCTCATCATCCTCCTCATCTTCTTCTACGTCGCCTGGCAACCCCAGACTGCACCCGCCCTCGCTCCTGGAGTCTCTGCAGCCAGCCCTGCTGCAGGACAAGCCCAAAGACACTGTGGAGGTGGTGTCCGAGGACCCCTGGCTGGAGCCGCCCTCTGGGAAATCAGCGGCCTCGGCCGACTCGGGCCTTTATGAGGGCGGCGTGGGCGACAACAAGAAGAGAAGGGTGTCACCGTACACTTCCAGCACTGAAAACTCCCCACCTCCGCGCAGTGGGGAGGTCTGCGAGAAGGACAGCAACAGTGATGCAGACTACTATGGCTACTACACTCACTGAAGACCTCCCAGGGCTGCCCACACCGCCCTCATGAACATGCACTGGTCTGATGAAGGGCTGGAACAGACAAACACCAGAGTCCCCCCTCAAAAGTGTCAGATGATAACAAGAAAAACTTTCAAGGTTGCTGTCAAATTGAACAGAAGTGGATGTGACTGGGAAACTAGCCTTGAGTCACATAAACACCATACAGACAAACAGACCTGTGACTTAAGCCTTTGAAACATCTATAGATTTTGGGGCGGAAAATGATCTGCATATCTACTTGTTGACAGTCGCCTGCAGGTATTGTCTGTTCTTTCTGCATCAAACACTCTCTCGGTCTCTTCTGCTTCGTCTTGTCTCTTCCTTTTTCTCACCCTCAACCTTTCACACATACTCTCACAATATGCTCACGGTCATTTCCCCTGATGATTCTGAGCAGAAAATACATTTCACTCACAGCCTTCTCTGCAAATCAATTTGTTTAGTGCAGCGCCCACCAGTGTCCACAGAGAAGAACTGCAGGATGACAGTGCAGAGGTAAAGAGAACAATGTCAAGAGGTTAAGAAGGTTTAGCTAGCACATATCCTGAAGCCTAATCTATGTCAACCCCGCTGAGGTGTGTGTGTGTGTGTGTGTGGGGGTGGGTGTGTGTGTGTTAAAGCTAAGTAAATCAGCGACCACAGCGGAAATAGCAAGTCCTTTCTGTCCATTCTGATTCTGATTCTTTTAACTGAACACAATCAGTTAAACTTAATTACCAAAAACTATTTTGATATTGAATTATTTAAGAGAATAGACATTCTTTAATATGTCACCTGCTTTAAAAGTTAACAGCCTGTTAAATGGGTGGTAACATTGGTATAACTTTGAACTGAATTTCTTCAGATTTTTGCCAAAAAGATAAATTTAAAGACGACACCCTGGGCAGGAGGAAACTTAATAGAATTTCACAAGTTTTAAGATTTGTTAATCATTGAATCAAGCATGGAAAAGTTACTTGTTGTTTCTGAAGCATTCAAGCATATCATAGCTAATGCTTCGATCAAGTGAAAAAAGGCCTCAAATAACAAAGGCCTAGCCTCTTACTGTTGTGAATGAATCTGGGAATGCTCTTGTCACCACACACACACACACACACACACACAAATAAAGACCGCAATCAATACTAGCATTGATGACGACATAATTGGAAAACAGTATTGGCAGACAGAAGTGTGACAGCTTAAAACACACATAAACTGCACGCACTGTAGATGAATATAGCCACAGTGTTATCTCAGCCAGGCCTGAGCCTAGTAATAATGTGTTCAGTTGTGTGCGTTCATATATCTGTCTAAGGCTGATCTCTCACACATGTCTGTATGCTCAAAGACATCCCATCGTTCCTTTGATTAATATACTGTATTTTGAAATACCTATTATATTACGTAAATGACTTGCGGACCCCTCATGCAAGTGAACAACATCCTCTCCAGTTTTGAAAGGCATTTCCGGCTAGCGGATAGGCTAAAAACAATTTTTACCTAGTTGGTTTCAGGCCACATTTGTTCCATTGCTGTAGTTGAAAAACTGAAAGGTTAGTTTCATTTTTTAACCAAAGCATCTGTTGATCGATTCCATAACCAAAATGTTATGAGTAATTAAAGTTAGGCAGAATCCTTATTAGTTCATCCAGTTTTTATCATCGTAGACGCCATCTTGACTATAAAGGAGCTGGGACGGACAATTGAGTGAGATTGAACTCGGGATTAGGAGACAAACCTAGCAGAGATCTTTAGTCACTTTTTTACGTCCGGTTAAATTTATTTACAACATCTTAATCTTCTTTGCTGTAGTGCTGCAAGTCTTCCCAAACCCTTTCTGTACAGTAGTAGCAGAGCAACAGAGCTGCTGACAAGTGAAAAGTGGGTCATTCAGAATGACTACATGCACCTGTAGGTAAAAGACGAGGCACTGTCACCCTAAAACCCACGATAAACAGGAAGCACAAAGTGACCAGACAGGCACTCTGCATTTCCCCCCTAGTCTTCGGGCTCATCATGTCGTGACACTGGCTGACAAGAGTCCCGGCTCCCAGCCTGGTGACAGAAATGAAGAGTGAGGCTGCAGTCGGCGCTGATCAGAGATCTGCTCCTCATTCCTCACCAGGTGTGCTTGGCCTCAGACAACACTGGAGGCGACAGGCAGGCACTCGCTCGGTGCAGTTCAGGGTTACTTTAGTCTTTTCTGAGGGAGAAATAAAATTTAAAATAAAATCTGCAAGCTTAAAATACCTAAAAGCCGAAAACTCCCGTAATCTGTTAATGGCGTAGTATTGCAGTGTGTATTACTGAGTTGAATATGGTTTTTAAATTACAGTTCTAGGTTATCAACAATGGTTTATCCCAGGTCAAATGTTTAATATATGTTTCCCGGTGCCACTATGTTGAAATCACTCACCTATTGCCTACTGATGCTAAACTCCTCAATGCGTCATCAAGTTTTCCTAAATTTCGACATTAATATCCGCTCAGAGGCTTAAATTATTTGTGTACCATTCATCTGCATGTGAAATATACATCCCCCTTCAATTGTTTGAAGTATGAAGTGTGGAGATAGCCAATGTAGCTTCATCTACAATATTGAAATCAACCAGACAACAAAACATAATACTACCTAAAGAGTTGCTTAAGATGTTAGCATGATGCTACTCACATATGCTAACAAAAAGAGCTTGAGCTAGGATCGTTGTTTATCTTGTCATACACAGAGGGAAACAGCTAGCCTAACTCATCAACTCCTGAAAACAAGCTTTAAGCACACAGTGTCGTTTTTGAGACTCTTAAACAAACAGTACCAAACATTTATTTGTGAGCCGTGGGTTGGTAAAGTTTTTTTCAGCAGGGCTAGCTTTTTTCCCCTGCTTTATGCTAAGCTAAGCTAACTGCCTCCTGGTTTACTACAGATTTAAGAATGTTTATAATCTTCTAATTTCTCAGTCATAAAAATAGTAAGGTTATTTGACTTAATGTGGAGCTATTCCTTCAAAGCCTTCATGTTTGACGAATAAAAAATGTCTTCAGTCAATTTAGAGGCCTTGGGGACGAAGGGGAGTTCAATTTGTACATTTGGAACTTGCATACAATATTATTAAACATAATATATTTACACTTCACGGGACAAAAGTTAAACTAATCAATGAGTTCTTCTGACAGGGAAATTATATGTCAAATTAAATGTAGATCTTAATGTAGGTAAATCTGCCGAAACATTAATGATTTTAAATTGTCTTATTATTTTTGGATAATCTGAATAATTACACAATTTTACCAACATTGTATTTAGTGTCTGGTCACTATTTGAAGGCAGCCCTTTTGGATTGGACTCCTACTGACTTCAGTATTTCTATATTTTTTTTAAATCCTGTGCCCCTGTTTTAAGGTTTCACATTCAAGCTCTTTTCTTAGCTTTGCTGGTTTTACATTAACATTATATAAATACTGGGACTGCAGCACTTGGCAAAATGATCCGAACACAATTTTGATGCAAAAAGGACAAACTGTCTGGCAGTTTAGCCCTTAACCTGAACATTTAAATAACAAAGTTAAATGGCAATGATTTTACCATTGCTGATTTTATGCTGAAAACAGAATATATTGTATGTTGCTTGTGTATCGTTTCCAAAAGATTTACTATTTAATGTTTATGTTGACGTCAAACAGAGGAAAAGGTGACGACTCTTGATGTACTTTATGAAGGTAAACCTATCGACAATTCTTGTTTCAAGTGCAATTAATAGAAAGTAAATTAGTTTAGACTTAATGATGGCATTGCAGAAACATTCATGTGATCTCTGGCCTGTGGACGATGTCAGTTATTTATTTTTACGTGCTGTGGTTGGTTGTGTGGTTTTAACTCCTGCACCTACATGACTGCAAGATCTCACATCAAACAGCAGAAAAATGCTTTCAGAAGCCTCAGGAACGACCCCTGCTGGATATATCAGCTTTTACAATCAGCTATCCCTGATGTTTAACCCTAAATACCACCATTTTCCCATGAGTCTTTGTTTCCCTCAAACACATTTCCCTCAGTAAGAGAAAAAGACGGTGTGGGAACTGTATTTCCAGAGATTTTACTGTATAAAATAGAAATAGAGGAGTGAAGAAGGGAGACCAGACGAGGTCAAGCAACAAGCATGTTATTTTATTTGTGTGTGATCCATGTGCACTGTTCATGTTGAGGGAGCAATAATCCTCCTTCGACTCTTTCATTGAGCGCTTATACATTGCAAAAATAAGAGAGGAAGATTCCTGAATAAGGGAAAATTGTTATTTATTGAAAGGTGGCATAATTGTTTATTGTATTGTTTTTTTATTCATGAAATTAAAGCTTACACATGACAAATCTCGGCTGTTTTGATGATCTTTTTATTTCATGTAAGCAGAACGTTTGATCAAATTAACAAAAAAAAACACCTTGTAAATTATATGAGAATTAACTTGTGCCATAATATCAACTTCAAACAAAAGTCTGATTTACCATGAGTATACATGTATCTGCAGTGATGTGCAGTTATAATAAATTGATACCACAGAAAAATTAAAACACAGATAAGATGTTACTTTATAAATATCTACATGTTTCCAACCAGTTGGATATTATTCTCTAATAATGACATAAAAATTGAGTAAAATATCTTATCTCCTCTTTTAAATGAGTACACACTGAAGTTTTATTTTTGCTTTTCAAAAATAAATGAATTAGATGTTAGACTTTGACATTCATATGATCTAAGCAAAGCCCAGAGGTTTTTCAATTACCTCTTCTAAGTAGGCTGTTTTGATCATTATTGTAAAAGTCACAAGTACCAATTTGGAGTACTTCAAATGCATTACGTCAGTTCACCGATTGGTAGTAAATATACTGTAGCTGTGGCTGGATTAGCCTACAAGATGGGTCATTACTATCGGTCAAGAATTCATTTTTTGGGACACTTTCCTGCATCTTGAACATTGACACATGATCAATTCTAAGGTAAATATGGTGTACTGTATGTATATAGGAAATGTGCCATGTTTTTTATTAGACAGGTTACAAGTTGACTTTTTCAAATGTGTTTTTCTGGTTACACTGAAAACGTGACACCATGAGAGCAGTGATAGTGAAACAGAACAGTTAAGTTGTCAGACTCACTATCGAGCTCCGTAAAGCCAAGGGGGGCTGCAGATTATAACTATCTGCAGGTATAATGTTCTCATCTTGATTGTTTTAGAGGTGCAAATTCCCTGCAAAAATTCCAATATACCAAATAAAACAGACCAATTGTACCCTTTACATGAACATTTACAAAGTCAAACAATTGTACTCATCATTAGAAGAGGACATCATTTGATTCAATGTTTACATTTAATAGGCTAACAAGATAGGGTTATTAGTAACCTGATAAAGAAATGTATTTCCAGTCATTTGTTTCAAGTAATGCAGAGTGTTCTTCACACATTCAGCCTAAAACTGTAAAATTCTCAAAAATAGATATATGCTTGAGTAGTCTCAAGCAATATTGAAATGCATTAAAAAATGTAACTCCACGAAAAAGTCTTTATATGTTCATTCACCTATACTTGATGCTGGGCGACCTGGGAGGTCTGACGGAGGGTTCCCATGAGCCGGTCATGGGAACACACCAAGGAGCGAGGAGAGGCCAGCAGCACTATCTCCACCCTGCACGTTTGTCAGAGCGGTTCATATATGCTGTCCAAATGTCCAACATCTCTCACACCTGTCTTTTATCTGGCATTTTAGATCGTCTCTGTTGTCTGATCACCAGACAGTTAAGTTGTCAACATTAGTAAAACCTGGATTCTCTCTGATCTTCCAGTACGTCCCGTTTGTCAGCCAGACGTCCCGTCCACAGGAGTCTTTGGCTTTCCTGATGAAGAAGAAGAAAATATTCAATGAAAGATTTGGAGTTTATTGCCATTCATCTATTTTCACAGGAACATTGTAAGAAAGTGTGTGTCGCTTTGAAATAGATTCAAGATTCTTAATTGAGTATTTTCTTTATTTTCTTGGTTATCACAATATTATTATTGGGATTGGACTATTGGTTGGACAAAACAAGACATTGCATGAAATCCCCTCGAGTTCTTGGACATTGAAATGCACAGTTCTCATTGTTTTCAGATCTTTTAAAGGCCCTAAAAGTTATACTACATGGCAGGCCTCGTTATATATTTTTTGCTCGATACCATGTACCCATGAAACACATTTTCAGACCAATTGTTATGCCAAAGCCCAGACTCGGATAAAAGTACTTAAAATGTATAGACATTCATGGACCAAACATTAGATTTGAACATTTAGCATTAATAATAACAGTAACAAATTATGGTATGGTAGTTAATCATTAAAATGTACTTACTTGAAAAAACGTGGAATATGTTCTTCCCCCCTTTTGGCGAGCTCTTTTCTTCGCTCCCTCTGATATTCCTCTATAAAATCTTTTTTTGCTTCTGCTTCGTCCACATTTCCTTCCTCCAGCATCCTTTTAAAAAGAGAAAGAATTTAAAGAATAACTTTACCATGAATCCACTTTAGGAAAATAACACATTATGCATTTCTTTGCTCTAAGGTCTCTAGCTCTACTCACCTTTGGTCTGGGCGCAGGCGGCTGTCTGTGAGAGGCAGGAGGGGCGTCAGGTCTGGGGGGAGTTCATTCAGATCCATGGCGAAGTCCGAGAAGCCGTAGTAGATCAGGTGATCCTTCGGCTGGGGATCTGTGAGGGGACAGAAGCCTGTTAGGTGAACTGTTCCAGGAATGTGACACCTGGATTTACACTGATTAGCAGTTATGGCAACAGGACGCTTGATTATTTCACAACACAAGAAAAACCTCAAGGACGAACATGTTGTAATCATGTGCTCAGAACAAAGACTCACTTGGCTTCCAGACACATTTTGGAGTAGGTAGGGTGTCGCAGAAGATGCCTTCATGCCAAAGACCTCCAAACCGGTGAATGATGCTCCCACTTTGGTCCAGCACCGTGCCCTGCACCTCATTCTTGTTCGTGTCTGAACCCCAATAACGAGACTACAACAGAATACAAATATGTCAAAAGCCTGAGATATGCTGTGAAACGAAACACAGAAAAGTCGCTTGCAATAACATAAAAAATGACTGAGTTATCCAGGAAGTCTTTGATTTCACCTTAACGAAGGTAATCTTGCAGGTGCACACGTTGCTTTTGAGGTTGCTGATGGTGACTTCTCCGTAATGCTCCAGATAGCGCTGCTGACTGAGGACGTTGTGGATGCAGGTCACTACTTTGTTCCACTCATAGTGATCTCCATACCTGGACACAACACCAACATCGAGTATTTTACCAAAGAAAAGGGGCAAAATATGTGAATAGTTTGTGTATTTTGTTTTGTATCATTATCATTGTTCTACATCATTTTATACCATTATATCAATTGATTAACTCACTGTTTTGGCTTTTGATTGGACAGAATGACCAATCGGAAGAGGACATGTTGCGTTTTGGAAAATTACAATGGACATGTATTGCTATTTAAATTTCTGGGACAAAATCATTTATTATATTGTCCCTTGTTCAATCCAAGCCAGGGATATTTGTGGTGTGTTCCAACATTCTCCTTCCCCCAACACTATTAACTGTCAAATAAAGTTGAAAATAACAAATAATAATCACAAAAATTATGAAATCATAATATTAAACGCTTTGGCTCTGGAAGCCATAACAAAAATATGGATGGATGTTTTTAGGGATATCCTGACTGTATTTTAAAACAGTGATACTCATTGAAGGTATTTAATGTCTCATTGATCTCAACTTATTTCCAACGGTAGATAACCTTGATCGCTTCACATAAAGTATGGTGCATCTCACATTTAATCCATCACATGTAATAGGTCTAGTCAGTGTCATGCCTCATCTAACAGAGGCCACGTAGTAAATACAGATAGCCAGGTTTAATCTGTTTACCTTGACAGAGTCACATTCACCATCCCTGTCGGCAGAATCTCCAGTGACTTCCCCCAGAATTTATTTTTCCATCGCTGGTCTGTTTAGGAATTCAAATAAACAAGTGTTGTAAGCCTGGCATTAGATTGACTAACTGAAACTAATTAGGAATCTGAAGAGTCTCACCTTGCCAAAAGGAGTAGTTCTCTGAGTGAGCATGGCAGGCAGAGATGGGGGGATGGTGGCAGACCTGGTGAAGAAAGAAATAATACAAATGATACTTAATGAGTATTATAGAGGGAATGCATTGTATTGACACTAGCTATCATTTGAGTTGAGCTTGTAAACTTATGAGATACACATTATATTGTATATTGCCATGCCTTCTGTGTCAAAACCTGAGGACTACATTACCCACAACTATTTAACCAGTGGCTTTGGTAACACCTGTATTACAACATAAAGAGCCTTTATTGTTATGGTAGATAATACCAAAAAAATTGAAGCGTTAATTCTGACCACATACCAGGAATTATAATCAATGATATTAGCAGAAGCCATTGTATCATGATACTTAACTGCTTAACTGATACATGTGTATCACAGTAAAAAGTGTTTAGTCTATAAGAAATACACAATTATGACTGTATAATAAGTCACCTAAATGTCAATGTGCCTCCCTGAAATTCAATTTTTCTAAGAGCTACATCACTAAAATGCTGTTGTAGAGATTAATTGCTTCGTCGAGGACAGTCATTTAATTAATTTTCACTCCACGATAAATGATGTGTTTTTAATTTTGAATAACATGATTAGATACCGTTGTTTTATTACAGCCATAAATCACTCTGTGCTGATTTGTGCAGCTCTGTGTGTCTGAGCTGCTCCATTACACCAAGGGTGATCCATCTTAATTTAGGGGGATTATGGGGGATAAATGGTGATTCCCCATAGTCAGCCTAATCATCTACGGTCCCATGCAGTGGCCACTCAGAGCTCTTAAAGATCTTCCTGAATCAGATATCCTGTAATAAATGTGTTGGTGAAGTTCTTCCTGAGATACCTGCTCACTGATGTAGCTGAAGCCCCGGTCCTCTCTGACGCACTCGTAAGTCTCCCCCAGCACCGGGTTAAAGGGCTTGTAGCGGTTCCTAAACGTGGCAGTGGAGTAACCAGAGATAGCGAAGGCAGCAATGTAAACCTGTTAGAAATAAAATAACATGAACAGTTTCATCTGTAATTGGTGCAAACTATGAAGAAAACAAAAGTAACTTTTCATTTTGTTTAGGCCAACTTTGCTTCGTTTAGGTATCTTGTCTCTCAGTTTGCTTCACCCAGATACAGCATTATTTCAAAGTAAACAAATATTGCACACATTTCCATTCCCTTATCTCTCATTCTCAGGTACTTTGGCTTATTTTTAATAATGTATTTTAAGTCTCGCTTGTTTTAAATGTATCTAGAAAAAGGAGGATGAGGATGTGAAATAGACATTGTTGTTAGTTGTGACATAACCCTCCTTGTTGTTTATTTAAGGAAAATATATATGACATTTTCACTGCTCATTCTGTGTGCAGTGACAAGACAGGAAGCATATCTTAAACATTCATTTTGGTCAATTTAAAAATAGTAAAGACAGCTGCACTGCATTTAGATTCAATCATGCAATCCTAGACTGGAGTCTTTATATATTTTTAATGAAACGTTCTTCTTAGCGGGTGCATATGCATCAAATCTGCTTAAGTTATAGTGGTGACATGTTCCCCAATGTGCCTTATAGATGATATTATTCCTACCATCCTCTGGTAGGGGTCTGGGGTGTTGTTGGCAGTGTCCAGCAGCTCACTGTACTCCAGCTCTTCACACAGCCTCTGCAGCAGGGTAACAGGCTCATTGAGAGGAACAGGCATGGAGACCCGAGCCAGGTCTTTACCTGAGGACACAGAGCACATTAGAGAACTGCTATGTGTCTATACACAAAATGTCTATGTTATTACAGAGTGGTGAGACTTGCCTATGTTATTGTAGAGGATGGCCATGAGGCCCACGTGGCTGTTGTCCGGACATGGAGCGGGCAGCGTCGTTCGCCAGCCGGTGATCCTGGGAACGACACCGTTTGGACTCCTGTGAATGCTAGCACGGTACTTCCTGGTGGCCGATGCTGTAATGAAAGTGAAATTAAATAATAATAATAATCACAGAAAAAGCTCTTCTGTTCAGTTTAATTTAGCAAAGCTTTGAGCTAAATGCTAATACACTGACGTTTAGCAGGTATAATGTTTACCATGTTTACCATTTTGAGTTTGTGAGTTAGCCTGCTAACATTTGCTAATTAGATTTAAACAATTTGTGTAGAGGCCGATGGGAATGCAGGCATCCATATATAAAAGGTGTAGGACAAATTAAAAGTTGTTAAAATGCTGGGGGGGGAAATCTGGTTTTCACTTTAAACACCTAAACATTTTTATTGGGAAAGGTCTTTATGCACACAAAAAAAGATTAAAGTTCAGAGTTTCCAGGAAAAAAACACAAATTAGTTTAAATTATTATTATTATTATTTATTTTTATTTTTTTATAAGTGTACAATAATCGATGCCATTTAATTGACATTGTAATATCACAGTACACTCCCCACATCTGATCAATGAAAAGTTTAAAAGTTGGGGGACATTCATTCTTCCAGAATAAAAGTATACATTTCTTGGCAAAATATGTTATTGTGATTAGTATTCTGTAATGTTTGGGATTCAGTTTAATCGCAGAAATGTTTCAAGAGATCACAATCCCAAAACAGATGCATAAATGTTCCTGCTTTTATTTTACATCTCGGACAGTTTGGAGAGTTTGATTTGTTGATACATTTAAAGTTTGCTTCTTTGATTTTATTGCTTGTGAATGGAAAATGTATTCTTTCACAAATATTCAGCAAAGTAGTTTCATCTATCTGCATCCCTGAGTCCTTTTCCCAGATCTTTTTTAAGGTTAGAAAGGATGACTGAGCTCTTTTAGAAAAAATTGCATAAAGTTCACTAATTTGACCTTTGATCGTGCTCGATGACATCAATATCTCCTCCTCTTCTAACAATCCCGATCTCAGTTTATTGCCTTTGATAATTGATTGGATCACGTTCCTAATGTGCAGGTATCTGAAGAAATCCTTATTTGAAATGCCATATTCTGCTCTTAAATCATTAAATGATTTAAATGTTATATCTTTATGAAACAAATGTTTCAATTGCTTTATACCTGATTTGGTCCATTTGTTTATATTGATTGACAACAAGTATTTGCTAAGATCAGGATTGTTCAAAATAGGAGAAAAGATGGAAATACCAGAGTTAACATGAACTTTTTGTGTACAGTCCCTCCAGGCTAAAAGTATATTGACCAATGTGAAACATTTATCCATATTTTTCACCTTATTGAAATCTTTAACAAATATAAGAGTTTCCACTGGCAACGGCTCAAAGATATTGGCTTCTATCTGAACCCATAGTGAATCCTGTCTTCCCAGAGACCATGATATTACATTTCTTAATTGAGCTGACCAGAAGTAGTGTTGGAAATTGGGAAGACCAAGACCCCCCCAAGGTTTCTGGTTTCATAAGAGTAAGTAACTTGATTCTTGTTTTTTTATTACACCAGATACATTTTGAAATATGTCTATTGAGAGATTGAAAATAATCAGCGGATAAATAACATGGTAACATTTGAAAAAGAAAATTACATCTCGGTAGAATATTCATTTTTATAACATTGATTCTTCCTAGCAGTGATATTGGTAATGTGGGCCATTTAGATAAATCCTGTTTGATTTTGTCAATGAGCGGATTGTAATTCTCTTTAAACAGATTATCCAGGTGTGGTGTTATATTTATTCCTAAGTATTTAAAGCCACCTGGTGACAAATTAAAAGCACAAGACTTTTCCAGATTTGCTGTTGGCGTCATATGTAAGAAACAAGCATTAGATTTCTTTAAATTAATTTTATATCCTGAGTATCTTCCAAATTGCTCTATCGTGTCGTGTAAATGTGGTACAGAATTTTCTGGGTCTGTTAAGTAAAGAATGATCATCAGCATACAGAGACATTTTGTGTTCACCGTTAATCTTCACTCCTTTAATACTTATGTTGTCTCGCACACATGACGCCAGCGGTTCAATCACAATAGCAAAAAGCAAAGGTGACAGTGGACATCCCTGTCTTGTCCCCCTTGTTAATGAAAAGAAATCTCAGGAACTGCAGTTAGTGATGACCGCTGCTTTAGGATTTTTATAAATTGATTTGACCCACTCTATGAACCGAGAGCCCATATTTAATCTGTTCAAGATAGCAAAAAGAAAATTCCACTCAACCCTGTCTAAAAATTATTTAACGTTATTGTTGACCTAACAAAGTTTATTTTAGGTTAGCTTAGCAGTCTAAATTAACTCAGCTCCCTAGTTTTGTATGTATTTTTATTTTAAAATGTTTTTATTAAATATGTTTCTTAGATAACTTTTTTTCTCTCATCGAATTGTGAAGCACTTTGAGAGGATGTTGTTTTTAAAGTGTGCAATACAAATAAAATGTATTATTATTATTATTATTAAAAAAGATGAAACTGATTACAATATAACACTGATATCCTGCTCCCTTCTATCTGATGTGCATTGCACAGACAGTCATTTGTGTACATGTACTCACCATGTCCTTCCTCTGGCTCAGAGTTGGTGGTGCTTCCATCACTGAGTCCTGATTCATCAGACACCTCAGAGGAACCATCACAAATCACGTCAGCGCTGGCGTCAAAATACTCTGCAGCCGAGTCTGCCACTGAGGGAGGCCTGTGGGATAAGTGTGACGCCGCTGCAGGCTATCCATGGAGAAATAGAAAGAGGAAGAAAAAACCTGCCATCAAACCCACAGGGGAATATGTTCTAGAGAAGATCCAGGTGACAGGTGCAGCATGAATCTTACCTCTGCTAACGTGTTAGACTGGTGGATGTTGTTCGGCTCCCAGATCTCCTGCAGCTTCTGCCTCTCCTGGGACAGAGTTTCATGCACTGACTTCAGAGAGGCAAGCACTGAGGAGGAACGAGAAGAGAAGTCTCAGAGGAAAGGTTGATGCAGATTCATTTCAGATTCTGAACATCTTTAACATTGTCCGCCTTGCATAATCATATTTCTGGAACAGTGTTAGTTTTTTCTATTGAAACTATAGCTAAATATGTTAGTCAATTATTTTTTTGATATGAATAAACTGACACAATGTTAAGATGGCATCAATGTGAAGTTTAACATGCTTGAAGGAAATTGACTCAAATGTTGTTAAGAAATTAAACTTAGGACAATAATCATTTATAGTTATTGTTTCTATCCATATCAGGAATACAGTGGCCAAACACAATGTGCAAAGACAGGAAAAGTCAGAATAACGTACTTACTTAAATTAAAGATCTCCTATCATGCTATTTTTAGGCATTTATTATGGGTCTCTAAAAATAAAAATATATAAAAAACATGTCTATGATGTGTTTTGCTCAAAATACCAAACATCCCTCATATCCCTCTGTTTCAGCCCTGTTAGAAAAGGGATGATTCTGGGTCTAAAGCAGGGGTGTCAAACTCAATTTCATCCCGGGCCACATCAGCATTATGGTTGCACTCAAAGGGCCGGTTGTAATTTTAATTATATATAAATATACATATGTAAATATATAATATATATTAAATAATGTATTATATTACATTGTTGGCCCTGCATTGGATTATTATCAGTTCTGGTAATATCTTCCTAAATAACTACGTCTGAAAGCAGAAGTCTAGGGCAAATAATTGAAAGTAAATATTCAACAATTACACCAATTGTATTGTATATTATATTCTTTGCAAGCTCTTGCGGGCCACATAAAATTAGGTCGCGGGCCGGATTTGGCCCCCGGGCCTTGAGTTTGACACCCCTGGTCTAAAGCTTTAAAAAAATTAAAAAAGAGGGTGGAGGAGCTTATGCTGAGTATCTGATCAAGAGAATTCTACCCAGATACTCAGCTAAATGCTGCCGTGATGAAACGCCATATCATGTTCATAACCACATCAAGGATCATTTCTGAAACAGTATGAAACTCAAATGCTTTTTCTCTTGCGGGTTTACCACAAGGTGAGTTCCTTTTTATTTCCTGCTTTTTTACACATACTCTCTCCAGTACAGCGTTAGCTCTGAGCGTTAGCGATACTTGCTAATGTAAACAAAGACCATATTACTTCCAAAACACGTCGGGCATTGTTTCTGATAGCAACGTTTCTGATAGGGCCGTGGGTCCACATTTCCGATATTACGTCATATCGGACGCAAATCTGGATCAGCTCCCCATTTTTAGAGATTTGGGTTCGAAGGAAAAGAGAGAGGGTTGTATTTTCTGACACTTTGTGAAATCCCTGACACACTGGGGACACGAAACATCGAAAAGTGCATTTTGCATGATAGGAGACCTTTACAATTACCAATTAAGAAATAGGGCTTAGGAGAATAAAACAAGGTGATATCGTGGTTAAAATCTTCAATATAATCTGTGACTAAAACAGTTTTTACTGGCTTAAACTAGGCTAAAATAGTTTAGCTTTTATTTGACTAAGATTTTACTAAAATGCCCAAACTTGAAGTAACCAATACTTCTAAAAAAAACAGATGAGGTTTACTAAATATGATTAAAACAAACAAGGACACTGACTCAACATTTAAAATAATAGCAGTCAAGATGGACACTACTGTAGATTCTCTAATCTTTATTGGATTTTGCTCTTTTAAAATGGAACATTGTAAGGATCCCTGTGTACCTGAGTGTATAAATGCATGTATGTGTTTTTCTGACCTCTTAGCGATATGGTGCAGATGTCCTGGTGGACCTTCTTGCCCTCAGGGGATGTGACAGTGGGAGGGGACAGCTGGGAGTAGACGTAGTCTGGGATAGAGGGGACGGATGCACCGAGCAGAGGCGAGCTGCTCAGGTGACTGGAGGACAGCTAGGAAGGTGAACAGAACATTTGTAAAGATTATATTACTTTGGCAAAGCAACAAAAATTGCTCAACGCATCAACTTTTTAGGAACCTCATAATAGCAATATTTTTCTAAGATGTTCCCCATACAGTTGAGACGATATCATTGTAAAGATCAAGGTTATTGACAAAGCATTATACTTCCTAAGAGAGCTCCTAAAGTGACCAACTATAAGAAGCAGGGAGGAGGACTTTTAAGAGGCTTAAGAGTTTCTTAAGCAGGAGGGAAAATGGCGGAAAGACAAAGAGATAGGAGAAATAATATCTAAACTCTAGATGACAGTAAGGAAATACAAAGATAAAACAAAAAAGATTAATACAACGATGTTTGTGATCGATCTGGTACAATCTAACATATTGTAGGACTTATTAACATTTAGAACATCCGGTTGACTACTTTATTTATGGCTCTAACCTGGACCTTTAGTACCACAGCCCTGCTGATTTTCTGTCCCGTCAGCTATTTTACATTGTTCACTTTAAGGCACTTTAAGTTTAAATAGGTAATTTATGTTTAATAATAAATTAGCCTGCAGTACTACAACTATCCATTGTCTAGGATAGACAACCAACAACACAGGATTGAAAATCTAGCATCTAAAGAATATGCAGGTTTACTTGATTGATCTATTTATTCATTTCTGAACCCCGTTCTGTGGGAAAACATGGTTTTTGAAGTTGAATAAAGATGCTTTAGAGGTAAGAGGTCTATCACACTGAAACACACATAATGAAACATATTATTCATTTTCAGAGCATTTAATAATTCTTATGAATCAAGTTGTCTAAGCCCATTCCCACTCACCGATTTAGTCATCCCACGAATAGGCTTTGGATAAGAAATACAACGCAATTTCAGAGGAGTTATCAAATTCTTCAATTCTATATGTTCTAATTATCAGTCAAATAATAAATGTAAGATTTCAATACAGTTAGTAAGTTACAGAGCATTCTTACCTTTCCTAGGGCCTCCACTCTGGATAATGTGCGAGAGTGCCAAATCTTCCCTGACCTCGGCTTCTTTGGCTTCTCAAGCAACAGATTCTAGAAAATAAAAAACAAAAAAGATATTGTATTGCCATAAATGTTTTTGTATTTCATGTCATGCTACTCAGAAACAGCAGTATACCTGTGTGCTGATGATGCGCCTCAGGTCTCCGTTATTGACAGCCTGGCCCGCCTCCAACAACTGCAGCTTCTGGATTAACCGGTTTATCTCCGAAATATCCACATGGCAACGATTCAGCTCTGGGAGAAAACAGAGGGGAATATTCATGGTTTCATTGATTCATGGATATATGCTTTACTATAACACTGTCAGACTAAGGATGGACAGTTAAGAAAAAAAAATCAAAAACCGATGCACCTAAACTAGAGATATCGTCCTATTTATTTCAAATTGTCTATGTATCGCTTACATTTCCCACCACGCAATTCACTTGACATACCTTTGAGAGCATGTATATGATTTACGTACAAATGTTCCCCTTAATATCATATATCACACCCATAACAATTGTTTGTATGTCATTTAATAACCCATTGTTATCTTGATTTCTTGAGGAAAACTTAAAAATAAGAAAAACTCTCAAAATCATATCAAAACATTCTGTTTATAAACTCTCACACAACCTGTCAGTATATTCCAAATTGTATCTAAGACCACATCTTTAAAAAGACTATTGCATGAACATATATACAGTACTGTGGCCCCCTTTACTTTAATTCATCAACACTTTTTGATTCTTTGTTCACCATGGAAACATGCAAAAAAAACTGTCTTCTTTACGATTTAAAGGGTAAGTAACTGATATATAAATTATAATATATATTATACATGAAACTACCTTGCACACAGGTGTCTGGGTTGTGACTGTGCTGCAGCCAGGCAGACACTTTGCTGTTCACAGCGGTGTTAGCGGAGGGCAGCATCCCTGTGGAGCTCTGATGACCAAAATACAGACGGAAAAAGGACACGTGGTTAATATGAGTCAGCTTTAAACATTGTTCTGTTAGGTCTAAAACAACTCTTATTTTATATTCACCAGATCTCCATTTCTCTGAGCTTGTCCAGCTGCACCTCCCTGTGTGAGCAGGATGCCGCTGTGACGATGAGCCGCCTTCTTGTACAGGCGGTGGGCTTGCAGCTTGGTAAACCAAATGTAGAAGAGCTCATGGCTCTTTGCCTTGGAGGAACAAGAAATGCATGTGTTAAGCTTTTTAATGCTGACGCCAAACCGATTGTTGGTTTGAAAAGTATGTTCATTTACCTTTAAGTGGTAAAGAATGTCTCCTGTGTCCAAGTCAATCCGATTGGACTTCTTGTTTACCGTCATGACTGCCAGGCTCACATCTAAAGAGCCCTGGACTCTTCCAATGGTGACCTTAAGAGGAAATTCAAATCAGTCATTCTTTATATTAAGTAGGGGGAAAAAAACCTCATTAACTGTGTTCACTTACATCATGTTGGTTTTTGGAGTAACGCAAGTACCCGGCTTCCAAGACAAAGTATCGCTGAAAGAAAAGGTCAAACATCATCTGCTTGAAATTGATTCCTTCATTTCTAAAAATGAACATACAAAATGAGAGTGGATGCTTTTCTCACCTTGTGCCAACCTTTCAGCGGCCACTTCCTCCTTTTCAGGAGATATCCCTCACAGATCCCTGGGATGGTGGGAGGGTTCTCACCTCCAGGCTGAGTTTCTACCTGAAGGTCGTCAATCACCTCCCAGTCTTTGATAACCTAAACAGCATGGGTAGGATAAAATAAAAACACAAAGAAATGGATTGGATGACCAGTGTGAGTCCCATTTTCTTTTTATTATTTTACACACTATTTCATATTTTTCATGTAATAGCGTGACAAAACCTTATATTCTGCTGAAATGTGCATGATTTAACTTTGTCAGGAAAAGGATAAAGGGACTATTTAATATGTATTTCCTTTATTTCATTTTATTTAACTAATATATATGAGTAATCTTTGTATTTTGTTGAATTTTGAATATCCGAGAATAATATTTTTGAGATTTGTGAACAGGTATAACTTTTATTGTACTGTAAGACCATTTTAAGTGTTGTTTGAAAATGTGCATTCTGGGTGTATCTTGTAAGGTTTGGAAAATGTGACACAATGATGACACATTTTGATAGCATTGATTTGACTGATTTCCCCTGCCTCTCGCTCTCACCCAATCAGCCAAAGCACCTGCTCACTAATATCAGCGGTTTCATGCAAAAATAACAACTGTTATCCAAAATAAAGATAGGATATTTTAAACTACAACAAAAGTCACATATTATCCTGGTTGAATTGTAACTGATATAACATTCAACTCCCCTTAAACAAGGAACAATTAAATGCATATACCCATAACCCCCTCTGTTGAGGTGAACTGTGACTCACCTGTCTGGACGACACGGTGCTGCTGCTCCGAGAGTGGGAGGGCTTCCATTTCGGGGAAGACTTCTCCAGGCCGCTCGCGAGGGACTGGCTGCGGTTCAGTGAAGATCCGTAAGATTCCATTTCAGACTTTAGACTCCCCTCCCTGATAGCCTGATTGCGGAGAGATCATATTGTTAATGATATAATAAAAAACAAATAGAAAGACACATCAAAGAAGCTTTGCAGGATGCTTTTCTTAAATGGCAGGAGAAATGCAAAGACTTCTGAGGTAGAGCAGCAAATAACGTTTTTTTTCATATTTCTGATTTTTCTGATTGAGCAAAAATGGTCGTCGCAAGTTTGGCCTTGTGGTGACATTCGATTTATTACCAAAGCTATTCATTTGACAATGTTATACAACAGAGGAAAGCTGAAAATCATCACAATTGAGAAGTTGGATTGTTTTCCTAATAAAATAATAATTACTCCTCTATGTTGATTGGTTGTTGAAAAGCTAATGATTGCCAACGAGATGGCTCTACAAGCAGGGAACCGAAGTGAAAGTGTTAAACAGCTCAAGAGCACCAGGTGAGATGGAACTCTGGGTAATCCAGTTACCACTACCTGGATACACTTTGTACATCCTCATCCAGATCACTCTGGATCTAAAGTCCCCACACTGAGCTCTACCCCGAAAACTATATTCATGCCGAAACCAGACAATTGATACAGTACATTTTCTATATAAATATGGCTGAAATGAAGTTTGTTGGCAGATAATCATGCAAGTTAACATGATGGAACTAGCTTCAGCCGCCACCATTTTCCTTTGTTATTGTGTTAGAAGTAAAAATAGGAACAATTGATGATAATGTGGAGTCATTCATATGGTAACTGTCATGGAATAATCTCTTAATTTTGAGTTTTTCAACATGCTTGGGGGGTTAAAAAAAGACAAACACCCTAGAATGCTCTTATAAATCCTTGCATTGAAGCTTATAATGATCATTTTTGAGTAACGCTGTAATGCAAAATATTGTTATACCAGTTATTTTAGGATTAGGGTTAGGGTTAGTAGGCAAAAGAGAATGTATCCAACATTGTTTAAAGAATAAAAAGAAGAAGAATATTTTATTTTTGTGTCACAGTATTGATTGGTTTGGTCATTTGGGCTCTTGTTTATGTAATAAGACTGAATGAACGTTATTGGACAGGATACTGTACGACACCACCGCCTACACCGTCTGCAAGGACAGGATTACTAACGTTTGCTTAATTGGTTTTTCAGGGTTTGTTTTTAGCTTCTCGGACATGAAGGGTCAGGGAGCACTGATACAGGAACTGGCATACGTGCTGAACAATAGCACGTATGTTATGCACTTTTTAAAAGTAAACCTTGAGGCTTCAATAGCAGCAACTTGTGTGTGAGACAGTGATCACAACTGGTTTGCAATGAGGAAAATTGGGACATTTTCTTTTAGATTATACGGGCCAGTATATGCAATATTGTGGTTATTATTTAATATGCAAACCTTATTTTATTCACTCAAGTTTGGAATGTTGTATCATTCTGTCATTTGTATTTGACATTTTACTGTATTTTATATACATTTAAACACAGATATTTTTCAGTTTTTGTAACATCACCACTGAAGACACAATATAGGCCATCTTAATTGAAATGAATGAAGCCTTACAACAGAGCTGATTTCCCTATGAATCTGGGCAGGAGCAGACCGGCTTGCTGTTATGTAAGGCAGGAGAGGATGGGAGTAGCTGACCTCAGAGATAACAGCATGTGGTGGAAACAGGATGAAAGGATTTACACGATTCTGAGCTCGCTTAGTCAGGAAGGAACACAAAGAATATTGTACGTAAAATTTGGTTTGGATGTCACTGGATGGCGATTAAGTTACTTTACAGTTGCCACAAGGCATTTACTTAGCGTACAAAGTATTATTATTTAACTTTTCTTAAACGGAACTCACCTTTGCAAACTTAACAATTTTCAAACTTCAGTTTGAAATCTAGAAATATATTGTTTAAAGTACACGTTTCACAGTTGCGTGCAGTTGAGGTCATGCACTTTAATAAAATGTCAAATCATTTGAAGTAACTTTTAAAATGCAATAAAGTATTTCAAGGGCTGTTCAAAGACTCTTATTGTCTTGGTCAGAAATCCACATTTCCTCTTATGAACCAGAATAGAGCAGACCAAGAGCTCCCAAACGGGAGGCAACAAAAGGAAAGTCAGCTGAGGGGAAGGATACATTTTGGCAACAGCCAAACTGCATGGTGCCAGAGAATGGGGGTAGGATGCAGAGATTATGACAGTGATATAATCTTGCTTCTTTGAAAAAAATGCAGCCAATTAAAGATTAGGGACGTATAATTATGAATGGGTGTAGACATTACCTCCTCAAATTGCAAAGGATTCCGTTTATAATCTAGAATATGAGACATTTACATCACCTGGAGGGAGGAATATTGTGTGCTGTCAGCTGTGCATGTGTGTGATTGTTAGAGACGTTGCCTGTTACACACACTCTGCTATGTTTTGACAGACAATGAATTTATAAAGCTCAATAAGAAAGCCGCTACACTGGCATACTTTAGTGAAAATGGTTCCTTATTAGCAGCCAGTTCCATTTACTCAGTGGCCCGAATGTAACAAATTGGCTCCCACGCTAACTTGAATTGCAAAAGTCACAAATAATTATTTCTTGAAATTAGGCCTCATGCTGGAGCTTTTGTCCAGCTTTTGTATTTACCTTTGGTTATCATATGCACCTGTCTCATGAGACATGACCTATATGCGGGAATGTTTCCCACATCCTTAATGCCACTCAAGTCCTTCAGGGCCCATGTGAACTACTCAGGGCTGCACACGCTCTTATCTAAAGCCCATTAAGATGTCCCTGAGCCAGCAGAGAAAAGGAAGACTATTGTAACCAAACAAATGTTGTATATTAACAATAGTAACAGGAGCCAGGGTGCATACATGACAGAGATAACTGCATATCAACATTTAAGATATATGAACAATTCTGATGGTTTGGTTAGGTTATTCCCATCAGAATTCAAACTTAACTTTGTGTTTTTAAAGCCATGAAATGAGTCTTACCTGAAATTAACCCCCTTCTCTCATCATCTGTTGCAGTCCTCTGCGCCTGATAAATCCAAACAGTGTCTCATTAGGCGTTAAAGAAGCTGCGAGGAATCACAATTTTGAATAAGAAGAAGACAGAGTTGTTTTCCTTCGAAAACCATTCAAAAAGTCAAACTACATGTTACTTCCACAGATTAGCACCAACTCTGATCACATAATCTCCCCGGAAGTGCCTCTCAGCTGGTGGGTGACTCCCCCCAATCCAGAGATGTGCCTCTACAATGCAGGAGGAGCGCGCCGTGCGCAATGTGTCCTGGGAATTATCCGCATTAGCTGGATTACACAGCGTCTAGCAGGGCTGTAGTGGAGGGTAAATCCAGCCACTCTACTCACCTAGTGTATTCTGTTCTAAAGCAAAGGGGCGGATCTTAAATAAGATCTTAACATACGACAAAATGTGGTATTTAAGGGGGAAAAGGTACAGGCTTACATCCATTTTTGGTGTAAATTACTTATTTGTCGATCATTCTATGCAGACTAAATATATTTTGTATTATTCATCACCTTAATAGTTTGCAGGTGACTGCAGCTTGTATCTTTTGTGATAATCAAATTAAAGAAAATCTGCAAATCGATGATTTCAAAAATGTAGACAGCACGTACTAAATAGAAAAATGTAAACAAAATTCAATGCTTTAAAAAACCTTTGAGCTCCTGTAATTATAATTGTTTTGATTCCCACTCTAATAGATGCTGTACTCATTTATTGTGAATCTGGCCAAAACACTTTTTTTTTTACTTTATTTGTTATGTGTGTTGTGTTTTGTATAAATCATGTACATTTATGTACAAACATTTTGTTTATAAAAGTATGGTTTGATGTTCCCTCTTTTTCCCTCTGATATGATATGGAGTGATTGGCCTGAATAGTGTTTGTCTGTTTTGTAAAGGCGGCCATTATAGACTAACTGACCCAGATTAACATTAACATGCCCTAATCTGCAGATTAACCCGTCACGATGTGTGACCACTTGTGTTTATTTTGGCTGGAGTGGCATTCGTGGTTCCACTTTACAAAACTTCCGTCACTGAATCTAATTTTGAGATGACTAAAAACTCTTGTTTTTATGCATTTTTTAGTAATCCTGCAATTCTTGAATCCAAATTCCAAAAAAAAGAGACTAAGCAATACATTATGTTTACATAGTTTATTTATGTGTGACAATATCCTTGAACTAAGGAATTGAATGAAAGACACTGACATTTTTCAGCTCTGTCCGTCCAAGACTTCCTCTGATAGGTTGAGAAGCACGGAAAGCAGTCAAGTCTGTGGACAGCTTTTTCACACAGCCACAGTGCTCCTATTGGTGGATGCACATTGTTTGAATTAGTTGAATTTAACACCATGCTCTGAGATTGAGTAAACCAACAACTTCTTCTTTGTGGAGTAATCTTAAAAATCTGCCTTGTTCTTTGGTGCTTAATTACAATAAATGGCAAAACATGCATCCAAGCCGACGTTCCCTTGTAATTTCAAGCAGTTGGAAATCTGCAACAGTCCCATTGTTTCCTCTCCAGCTCTACGGGGCCTCCTCGGCTTTAGGTTCTCCCTCGGAGCTCTGCTGTTTGACGTGCTGCTGCAGGAGAGCGGAGAGCTGGGCCGGGTGGTGCTGCAGCATGGCAGCTGTCTGGGAGGTCAGCAGGGTCAGCCCACTGACCAGCTCCCCCTGGACCACAGCCACCGACGGCAGCTTGGAGTAGCTCACCACCCCCTGTGCACTCAGCAGCGTGTTGTCTATACAGGCTCCTGTTGACAGATGAGCAAGGCAGAGGTGGATAAGAAGCAGTTAAATGATCACAATCTGTTTAATATGGTTTTCAGGGGAGGTAACGAAGAGTAAAACATGCTGCTCTGCTTTGAGATCAAAATGTATTAAACGCACAATATGTTATTTTCTGACACTCAATCAGAACAAAAAGAACCGACTAAATTGGGTATGTAGAGTAGCGTGTGATCATGGGAGTTGTCGTCTCTATTACATTATTGCCGTAATCTTTTCTAGTTAGGATTCTTTAACATTCAACGTTGTGATTGAAATTCCTGGAGCAAAGAATCAGAACACAAGGAATAGACAAGGGAGCTCTATACAGATGTCTGACACTGAAGATATTTTCCATCAGTGAGTTATAACCAGTTATGTTTCATATAGAGAAGCAGGCTCTAGAAGGCACCCGTCAGATAAGATATATTCTGTCTATTTATTATCCGTTTCATTATCTGTATTCAGGAGACAGAAGGAAGTCATCTCTTAACACAGCTGATGCAGAGAGCCTGAGAAAACAGGCGCCATCTTATCTCCATACACTAGGGCGCCTAAACCCCAAGGCCAAAAGCCTGCTGCCTGTGCAGAGAGCCCAACCTGAACTGAAGTGAGGACAGCAGTGGAGAATTCATAGAAAGAGACTAGTTAAATACGTCCATTAAAAGTAATGAAGGTTGAATTATTCAGAAAGGTCTCCATCTCTTCAAAACAAACGGACCAGGTGATTAAAACTGGTAAGAATACTAAATAAAGCAGTTTCACAATATTAGACGCTTTCACACCAAGTACTTTGCCGTACTTAGTTCCCAGCACTTAGTTCCCCCATGGAACTAAAGAGCAGATCGCGTTCACACCGGAATAAATCCCTGAGGAAAGATTACGCAAATGCAGCCGCTGACGTCACTTCTTCTGCTTTGGGTTTACTGGCAGGCCGCAAACAACTTCACGGCGTATACTGCCACCCGAAGTCCCCGGCCGGAAGTCCCCGGAGTTGGGGACTGGCTTCAGAGTAAATCGCCAGAACGCCGACACCTCCTCATCTCTCCACCGCTCCCATGTTTTTTTGTTGTGTTGCCATAAATGTGTCTCTCTCCGTTGGTGCGCTGGGCTAATGCTAATGCTAATAATGCTCTTTTCAGAGTTTTACGGGGCGTGGTTTGCAATTCGCCCAGCCAATCAGAAATTGGAACTTTTTTCTCCCCAGGAAAGTACCTGCTCTCTAGCAGGGACTGAAAAGGGGTGAAAAGTTCTCATGAACTAAGTTCTCTTTTTGGTGTGAACGCAAAATCCCAGGAACTATCGGAACTAAAAGGGAAAAGTACGGGGAAAAGTACTCCGGTGTGAAAGCGCCTAATAAAAAAAGTGTTCCTCAGCCACGTTCACAGGAAAACGGAACTCCCGTACGGGCTGTGGACCGAGTTGTTTTACATTTTAAACCGTTAAACGGTTAAAAACACTGAATAAAGTGTTAAAAAGCACCGTTTGTTTGCTTTCGTTTTGCTGACATACTCCTATAGGGTATTAAATTAAGTTCCTTTTTGTGTATCATTCTTTTGTTATTACATTGTTAGGCCTTTGTGTTGTGTGGATTTTGGGCCCATCGTTTGATTAAATGAATGTGTAATTCCTGGCTTGTGATCTTTGTCACTCTGCATATCAACGTTTTTCTCTGCATGCAGACACAGAAGATGAACGTACCCAGGAGTAGCATATGTCGGCTGTTCCTCAGACACGACAGCATCTCCTTCACCTTCGGCTCTTTACTGATGAACAGTACCGTGTGACCAATGAAGAGAGGAGCCATGTTGGAGTAAGTGCTGTCTTTCAGGAACGAACGCACCACCTTAAAAAAGCAAGATTAAGGATTAGACTAAACTAGGATATTTTTAAAACATCTTAAATAAGGTAATCATAAACCATAAGTTCCCTGTGCATACAGTACATTTAGGATCAATACTCTGTTTAAAATTCAACATTATGTTGTTTTTTCTTTCTGACATGATACATTTTCTTTACTTAATTTAAAAGGGAAAAATAGTCAACAATTTTAGCATTACCTGGTTGGGGAAGAATTTCACTTTGATGCCATGTTTATGAAGTTTGTACTTGAGAAGAATCATTGCGTCAGCAGTACTGCCGCTGTTCTGGACCACAGCGATCATCTTTGATTCCTGGAACACGCTCTTCAAACTCTTCTTAACGAGTATCGTGAAAGGGTGATCCTGGTGGAATAAAAGAGAAGAGTTTGGAAAATAGAAGTGAATTTATTTTAATAAATAAATACACACACTTATTTTCGACTATTCCCTTTATTCAATTCAACAAAAGAAGTTAAACACAAGCAGCTGTTCATTTCCCAACTCATCCTGAAACAAATCGTCCAAGAGTGAGTTTCCTTTTTTAAGATTTAAGAAGCTGCAGACTGTTAATCCTAATGAAATCACAGGTAAGTGTGTCACATCAGTAAACGATGGATATAGACAAAGTGAAAAATAGTATGTAATAATAGAAATAAATTGTTAAGATTATTCAAATTAATTGACTCTTTGAACATGGTATTAAACTATAATTGGCACATCAACACAAACACTCCAAACATTGTTTTTACCCACACTCTTTAAAAAGGTAAGATTTGTATTTGGAAATGGTGCAGAACTCCCAGAGCTAGGACATGTACCGACCCTTAATTGCACCCCTATGTAAGTGTAATGTTTTGGACTCAATAAACTTTGCACGCTAAATTGTGACATCCAGCTCTGGAAATGCATGCACTTAATACCTCATATCTGTCAGATAGAGGATGAAAAGGGGGGACTGTTACCTCCTGGTCTCTGCTGGTTTGTCGTGGATAAGCTCCAAGAGGAACGGGTCGTGGGGGTGGAATGTACCGTGTAACTGACATCAGCTTCTGTTTGAGAAAGTGCAACGGCCTCTTGTGTCGAGTCACAGATTTGGAGCCGTGCCGAACACACTGTGTGAAGGGAAGCCATCCTGAAAGACATGCAGTGTGTTAAACTTCTGCTAACATGAAATAAAACCTGAGGCTGCTCTGCTAACACCAGCTAGCCTGTCTAAAACACGCTGTTTAACTGAAACGTAGCTGAAAATGCTTATTATAGATAGACAAGACAGTAGTAACTCGTAACTGACACAAAGAAAAACGCTAGAAAGGCAGAATAAACGTTAAATTACCCTGTTTCGGTAGTAATATTCGACACAAGGTCGCCGCCATCTCTAACAGGATACGTTATTCAGGAAGTGACGTTGGCACAAATGCTGCATTCATCAATATCGGAATATAGAGAATCACAACAGTGTACAGATGATTTTGTAACTGTCATTATTGGGACATTTGTTATACATTACTGCAAAAAACATAAATAATCCTCAATTTCACTGGATTTTGTGGTAAATCTGAAACAAAAAAACTAACTTTTACACACAGATTGAATAACATGTTTTCGCACTGGCTTTCTCGTAATTACAGATATAACTTGAACGCAGCACCATTTAATAGTTTTTCAGATTTTGTATTTAAATCATACAACGTTCTATATTTATTTATAACCAAAGTTTACGTGTGAAAATATATTTCAAAATTATTTGGACATGCATATTACAAAACAGTTGGTCCAGTTACAAAACAAGTAGTCGGTTACTTTACGTAAAGGAGGATGTGCTGTTACGTCAGCGTCAGTTTGACAAGCATGAGGCGCATTCTCAGTGCGAATTTATTATTGAGGCAGAGCAGTTTATTTCTTAGAAATCCTCGTGCTCATGCCTCTCTGACAGCGGGTCAACAACGTGTCTGTTCACGGAATTTCTGCTGGAAATCATCGAGCGCCGACACAAACATGGACCTGAGTAACATGAGGAAGAAATACAAAGGAGATGAGGACGTGAGTTACCTGTCAGGGAAATACACAGAGTCATATAACATCATACAGTGTGTAACTGCAAGGTTATTATAATTTAAGGTCAATGAAGGTGGAAAAACACTGCTATAAGTTTGTTTTTATATCTACCTGGTTGTCTTGAAAAAAAACTGAGACTTTTACTACCTATAAGCAAATCTAGGTATTCCAAAGATAGTGACACTGGTTGGCTCATTCATAAGGGCCTGCGTGAGGTTTATGTAAGGTCAGTAGTGTCTGTTTTCAGTGATGGAAGAAGTGTTTACAGTCATTTATCAAAGTTAAAGAGCTACTGCCAGACTACACAAATATTAATACAAGTAAAAGCTTCCAAAACCTTACTTAATAAAAGTAGGCTATCTATCTAGCAACATTCTCAGTCAGTTATGTTATTGGAATAATATTACTGCTGCATTCATGTGCATGGTGCATTTTAGTGCTGTAGATGATGTATCATATTCTTTAAAGGGGACCTATCATGCAAAATGCACTTTTGTACATCTTTTATACATGAATATGTGTCCCCGGTGTTCCAGGGAACTCACCAAGTGTCAGAAAACACAACCCTCTCTATTTTCCTCCATACCCAAATCTCTAAAAAAGGGGCTGCAACGGATCTGATAAAAACTGATCCAGATTTGAACACTGTCCTGACGTCAGGACGGTGGCGCCACGGCTATTGGGCCAACTCCACCAATCAGGAGGAGACAGCCACGGCCATTGCCGTTCGAAAGCGCTGGAGACGCTGTAGTACATATGCCAGGCCTGTAAGTGGCACTGTAGTCTGCCACAAAAGCAGCGAAGAAGACTTGGTTACCATGGTTACCCTTCTGTTTATTCTCCGCTGTGGCTTTCTTTCTCCCTCTCCGAGGCAAGCGTTTGCTCCCGCTGCAATGCAATCCCTCCCCGTCGAGGCAAGCACTGTAATTCTCTCCGGTTAGTCCACCAGCAGATGACAAACACCCACCTCTCCGCCTCTTCCAAGGAACGAGGGGACCGTGCGGCAGAGTTTCAGTTTCTTTCGCCGGTCAAGATGTCCGTTAAAGTTTAAATCTTCCGGACAAAATTAGAAAAGTGCCGGTCAAAGGTCTTCTTTGTTATTTATTGAGCTTTAAAACAAATGAATAACGACTCTATATAATAAAACACGGAGAACTGAGATCTATTTTTCTCCCCCTCTTCTGACAGCCCAGCAGCTGATCAGAGCACGGCTCCCCTCTCCTGCAGGGGGGCGTGGTCAGCAGAATCAGACCCGTAGACAGCAAACAGCACATAGAGCGAAATGAGGCATGGCTAAGGTGCCGTTTACACGAGGACAAAACGGCTTGTATGTGCATAGTTTCTCTTGCGTATAGCCCTATTATTAACATGAGGCCGATAGAAACGGACCCCACAAACGATAACGGGTCCCAAGGTGGATAGATTTGCAAACGAAACTCTCTGGGGGGTCAAACGAGTCCGTGTAATCGCCTCTATATGAATATTTAAATAACGATAGCCCCACCTCTCCCCACCTCTGCTGCTCACTGCTGTAGCATGGCCAGTAGCCATCTGTAACGATCAACTATCAAAAATAGCTGTGTTAATTAAACGCACAAGGGGTTCTTGAATGAAATAATATTATAAAAGGCAAACCAGAATTGTTAACGCCCAATATACTCCTTAAACAAAATAAACATAGTCAGATTTCATGCATTGATCCATTATATTGACAATTTTCCAGCCAAACAACACAAACAAAATTAAACAGTCCGCTCTGCGATACACCAAAATTGTCTTTACTGCCTAATCCAGGCCATTATTGTTCATTGCTCCTGCACCCGTCGGCGGCAAAAAGAGAAATGTTTGTAGGCCTATTCAGGCTATAATCCACACAAAAAAAGGAAACAAAGGACCGGCGTGTCCCAGAGGAGCGATCTCACCCGGTGTTTGTAGAGAATATCTCTCTTTCTGAGCGCGTCCTCTCCACGGAGACATGCTTCTTGGTCGGTCGATGCAATATCCACAGATTCGGTTTCTTTCAGTTAACTTCCCCGTTGCATTTATCCATATATTTACATGCTGAGGAAATTACTATATCCCGCTGAATACCAGCAATCGCCACACACACTTCCTCCTGTCAGTAGCTACTGCTAGTGCTACTGCTACTGACCATGCTACAGATGTTAGTGCAAAATATACAGCTCCTCTACCACAACCATCAGCAACAAGTGGACATGGAGAATTACATGAACTACATGTTGCTAAATCCACCGCGGGGCATAAACAGAAGGGTAGCCATGGCAACATTGCTCCGGGCTGCTCCAGGGTCTTCTTCGCTGTTTTTGGTGTATTTTGTGGCGGAAGTTACAGCGCCACTTACAGTCCCGGCATATGTACTACAGCGTTTCCAGCGGCCTCGTTTGAACAGACACGTTAAATGAAACGAATGCATGTGAACGGAAGACTTTTTTGAAAACGCATACTGTGCATAAACGCAAACGTTCCCGTGTGCACAACGCCTAAAATGCATGATCTGTTTGGTATTTTGAAAATAGAAATGTATAAATATACCTTATATAGGTATGGCCCTACAATATATCATTTAAATATAGCATGATAGGTTTCCTTTAAGATTGTCATATGTTTGTAGCTGTATTGCTGTCCTATTAGAACCACATCTCTAAAAAGGACAACTTCTATAGCCCTGTTTTCACTTTTGCATATTCCAGTTGATCCAAGAGGCTTTTAAAAAATTGTAATTATCTTAAGAAGTAGGACAATTATCTTCAGTCATTGAGGAACACTAAATCCTTCATTTTATCCAAAACACTCAAACCCAAAAGGACCAAGTTAATAGCAACTAAAGCTGTACACATATGATGAGTCAAATGTAGCATTTTTCCCTCTAAAATGTGGTAGAGTAGAGGTATAAAGTTGCACAAAATGGAAATCCTCTAGTTAACACTAGTTGAGTAAATATATCCACCATTGTCTGTTTCTCAGAACATTCACGTATGATTGATTATTTGTTTCCCAGTGCTTTGAGGAGAGCCAGCTTGTGTCTCTGGACCCGATCACTCAGTTTGGGAACTGGTTCGATCAAGCCACAAAGTGCCCTGAAATCGGAGAGGCAAATGCTATGTGCATCGCCACAGCCACCAAGTGGGTAACACAAACTCCCAAAATCAAATGTATTTTCATTTTTGTAATGTCTAATGTCAACCCTGTCCCTGCCTGTCTGTACAGAGATGGACGCCCCTCGGCTCGTATGGTCCTCCTGAAAGGTTACAGCAACGAGGGTTTCCGTTTCTTCTCCAACTACGAGAGCAGGAAGGGTTCTGAGCTGGTGAGTTACTCCACTGACTGACAGCAACTGTCTAGGCTCTTTGTGACCTTTTGCAACCTTGGAACCCACTGACAAGTTTACTTTAAAACACGTTTTTAGAGCTTGCAATGTTCATTTCGATTCCCTTTGTCTGGGAATCAATTGTTTTTCATTTAAGAAGAAATAGACGACAATGTGTATGTGATTCAGCTCCTTTACTGGTTAGTTGTTGCAGCAGCTTGACTATAAATTATTATATTTGTAGGATGTATTGTTATTTATTGCCTTCTATGTTTTTGTCCTCAGGAAAGCAATCCCCATGCATGTCTTGTCTTCTACTGGGAACCCCTTAACCGACAGGTCAGCATCTATCAAGTGTTCATCATTTCCTGCCTTATATTTCATATTTTTTATAGATTTTCCACAGTAATACATTTGAATTCTGATATGCAGATTCGCATTGAGGGCAATGTGGAGAGAATCCCCTTCCAGAGCTCCTGTGACTACTTCCACTCCCGGCCAAAGAGCAGCCAGATCGGGGCCGTTGTGAGCCGACAGAGCACGCCGGTTCCTAACAGAGATGTAAGACCCCAAACAATACCTTCATATGTATGTAAATACTTTAAAGGCTCACTTCTTACTGTCTTGTCTTGTCTTTTTAGTATTTAAGGCAGAAGAATGCAGAGCTGGAGGAGAAGTACAAAGACACAGATGTGCCTATGCCTGATTACTGGTGAGCATCAGACCACTTGTTCTTTATATTATAACATCTTCAAATCATGAAAAGGTGAAGGAACTTTATTACATTTTACTTGCAAGAATCCATTAGTCATAGTTAATGCCATAGTACTTTATTATTGCCAAGTGGGCCAGTTCTCTTGTCCAGTATACTTCATTTTACCATTTACCCATTGGTAACCCATAGGACTATCGCTCAGTCTTGTGAACATATCAAAACAAGGTTATCTCATCATTTCCTGATTGAAATATTCAAACTGTCCTTTGTGAACAGGGGCGGCTACATCGTCAAGCCCTTCCTGATAGAGTTCTGGCAGGGTCAGACCAACCGGCTGCACGACCGCATCGTCTTCACCCGGCCCAAAGAGGGAGAGGCGGAGCTGGGGGAGTTTCAGCACGCTGCCGAGGGGGGCTGGGTGTACGAGCGCCAGTCCCCGTGAGAACTACCTCAACTTATCGTTCATAATCAAATGTGTTCACCTCTATGGAAGTAAGCGCTCGTCTCTAGGTACTTCAATGTTGATTTCATAGGTGCTACTGTGTGAAGGATTTATCTGTCATCTCCTCGTTCTTTATGTCAGTTCATATATTTGGAGGTGTGACGCTCTTGCTGTACAACTTGAATTGTCTTTATGTCAAGTCATAAAGTCTACTTTTATGATGTTTATTAAGTAATAGAGGCACCACCTATTTCTCCTATAAACAGTACAATACCAGACATGTAACGGAAAATGTACACATTTCCAATTAAAAGCATTTCAGCTCAGCTCAGATAGAAAATGTATGGCAGAGCTGCAACATGGAATTGTAACACATCGTACAAGTGTTCCTAATAAGGGGGCCTCTGATGGTATTCATTGTTTTGTTTGTTTTTTCTAAAATGTTGTAAAATGTTATGTTTGATTGTAGTCAAACCAAGCAACCGTCTCAAATCTTCATTATAATTAGTATTATTTACACCTTTATAGAATAATAATAATCTATTAGTGTCTTTCTAGGTCTGGGAAATAAGAGGGAATTATAGGGCCTGTGAAATACAGTGCAACTAACTTTTAGTTTAATTCATTATAAATTATTATAACAATGAGATTAAAAGAGCTGATGACTTGAATTGTGCCAACTATTGTGTGTATCATGTACATGTTGCACTATTATGAGATTTATACTGGTGTTTATTGTTTACTGATGGAAGATGAATGTTATTTTGACTTGAATTGACTGAAAAGCCAGAAATAAAGTTTAATTTGTAACTGAGGCCTGAGTGCATGTGTGGCCAGCAGATGGCAGCACCAACACACAACAAAACACAATCATTTATAGTCTCACAGTCAAACATACAATCCTGAGGCAACTTTTCAAATGGTCCTTTTCTGGAAAGGTTCAATATAAATTAAGTATAACAAAAATCAACCTGCAAGTTGGCCTTTAAGCAAAACCAGCTGATCAGGGGATTTTCTTTTCTTGAATGACCAGCGTTAGTCATCACTGACTTAATAAAAGCCAAGAGCACAGCACTGCGTATCAAATGTCAGTGTCTTCTTACCGTCACCATGACAACAAAACTATCCAGCACACACACGCTCAGGTGGATAAAAATACTGTAACCTGAAACCAAGATTAAGTTGTTTAAATCATTCATTGACAATACTCGATCAAATGATTGTCTGCACAAATACAACACACTCTTTCTATATTAACTCATCTTGTCATTTTATTAAAAACAAATCTCTTTTTTTGCTTTAGAATTTTAGAAAAACATTACATAAACAGCTTTCATTTCAAATGATTATTTATCACAATATATCCAACATCAAAATCAAGTCTCCCATTTACTTCGGTCATGAAAACGTAATAAAAATGTTCTTTTGATTGTGTAAGACATAATAAAGGAGGTTTTAATTCCAGCAATCCTTAATAATACAAATAAATGTACAATAAAGTAATTCAAAGGGATGTTTGCATGAGGTGAGGCAGACTGTAGATAAATAACAGAAAGGGAGAATATGAGGCGTAATAAAAACGTCTCCTGTGTGCTGATACCAGCTGTTTGTATTGGTGGGAGTCCATTGGTTACAGTATCTATGGGTGTGGGGCCTTGTGTTGATCCAGTTTAGCACATGTACAGTAGCACCACATGGTTGTGCTTGTGTATGTTGTATCGTTCATTTCAGCATTTATAAGTGCAGCACTCATGTATCACACATTTGCAATCAGGTGTGCTTTTCATTGGTCAGTCTTCTTTTTGTGGTTCTCGTCACTGAGGCTGTGCTCGGAGAACAGGCTGGGGTTCTCTGCCAGCGTGGAACGGACCTTCTTCTTCTCCTTGAAGCGTCCGGAGTGGGACACCTTGACGTGGCGGCCCTTGGTGGCAGACTTGTCCACGATCTTCTCCAGCCTAGCATTGAACTGGCTGTCCATGTGGTCTGTGGGGGGGGTACCGCTCGAGTGCTCTTTGTTCCCCGTATTGCTGCCATACTCTGCTGGGATCTCGTACAGGACCTTGGATTCAGACTTCTTCTTGCGGGAGAAGGTCAGCTTCCACCAGCTTTGATCCGCCATGGCACCAGTAGAGAGGGGGAGGACTGACCTGAAGGACACAGAGCTGAGACTGAGCACCATGTACTGGAAATTATTATATTTACACCTGGCATTCAACAGTTTAGTGAACATACTATAAGAAACACAAGGAAAGAAGTTTGAGCCGGTTTCTCTACCTTATTATGTAAAATATTGCAGCAATATTATTTATTAAAGGTATCAAGTTACCACTCAGAAAAGGCCTTTAGGTGATATCCTCTGCAAAATATTTACAAGAAAGGGATTTTGTATTGCTCATTTAACACTTTACAGGGTTTAAAACTATTTAACGTTGTCCATTTTACAAAAGTGCACATCTTGGAACCATCACTAAGAAAAGCCCCATACCATGAAGGGCAAAATATCCCAAAACAAACTAAGCTGACCTCAGCAAATTCTTTTTTTCAAACAACTATTTCTGGTGGTTGGTCAAACATTTCTTACAGTTTGGGAATTTGCTCGAGGAATTTGGACTTTCTATAAGTATTTATAAAATGCAAGCTATGGTGCTAATCCAAAACCATTGTTCAATCAGCCCTGTCTTCAGAGATTAGACAGTATGCAAAGCTTCTTTTTAACATTAGTAGATGTAACCTGAGGGTGGAGGAAACCTGACACTCTGCTCTCAGCTGATACATTAATGATCATCTGAAGAGTATCCTCTTTCCATCTCTCTGAGATCTGATATGAAGTCAGTGTAAAACAAAGGATCACAGACTGATGAGAATTGTGTTAATGCTGTTGAAACTCAGCCATGATATAAACAGCAACAGGAAGGTCGCTCTATTGTCAGCATCACACAATAACACCTGGATTTTTCTATTTATATTACTTGATTTACAACAATTCAAAAGTATGTAGCTACACAGATCAGCTATCAGTCTCCTGGCAACCAGTGAGCTAAAATAACTTCCTCATAAAATGAATGTGGACTCTTTGGTGTTTATGATGTGCTATATAACATCTAATAAAAACTGGCCTTCTTATCACAGTGTCCTGACAGTGACTTTTAGTTTGGTATTTTCAGTTTCAACGATTATTATTTTGACATTCACTTAATCATTTAGGGGTTTTTTCAAGCAAGCATGTAAGAGGTTACTGCTTTGTATTAATCTTATGTTAGAACAATTTATTTGGGAGTTTTGGCTTGTTGTTCAGACATTTCTTTAAGTCACCTTAGGTATTTTTCTAAATGTTCTTATCTTTTATAGACAAAACAATACATCAATTATTACAAACAAGACAAAATTGCAAGATCGATAACAAAATATGTACATGTCTGCCCTGGCACAAGATTCAATATAACGTTCTTAGTTTTTTGATCATCGCTGCAGACCTTTTTTTGTCTACATTTCATCTCTGTCTCTACTCCCATGTTTCCTTACTGTTTCTTTGTCCATTTTCTAACACAGGCAAAGAAAAGACCAAAACTAATTTTCTGGTTTCATATTTTTGTATTTTGTGTCTCCACTGTGACATGTTAACATGCTAGTTCCAAACCCTTTTCACCCTCTGTCTAAAACCAGAGCCCAGTCTGCTCTGATTGGTTGGCTGGCCGGCTCTGTTATGATTGGTCAACTGTTTAGAGATGTCTCGCCCCTTAGCCTATCACGTACATTATTTTGGAGTGCTAGCCAATAGAAGCTCAAGTGTAACGTAGTGATGTTACTGTCTTGTTCAAGTTAACAGAGGAGTCCAATGGAGGCGTTTCAGTCAGTGTGTTGGAGAGAAACTCTATGTGGAGGGAACTTTGGGACTTTAGCCTTTGCAGACCATTTACATGCACAAAAACCTTTATAAACACACCACGGGAAAAGAAAAACTCAAAAGAGCATAATAGGCAACCTTTAATTCCAACAAGGTCTTTACATTCGTGTTGCTCATAATTGTTGAATTCTATTTTAATGCATTTCAAACTGGGATTAACTTCAAACTGCAAATAAAACATAAAAAGTAACTGAATAAACACATGGCTTATAAACCAGATTTTATGAGTTTTTCGAACGCTACGATTTCTACTTTACGAGGGCGGACAGGAAGCAAAGAGGCTCACTAATCCTCCTTTGGTGTGGTCATTTGATCATGTAGCCTATGCAAATACCCAGCATGCCCTTTGCAGAAACACTCATGCGACTCTTATCAGAGCCATGTGATGTTTGTGGCACCTGCAAGCAGTGCCAAGGTTCAAGAAAGCCAAACAATGGGTTTAATGTTGTGATAGGGATTCAATGGTCATTTCAAAATTGTAATGTAAGCACTATAATGGAACATTTGATTATTTTAGAGCTAATGTGCTATTATATTCACAACCTAATTGTACTTGTTGCTTATTTACACTTAGTTTTAGCATATCAAAATGTCCCTTTTGTAAGTTGTTACCTTTTTTTTCTGTCTAAAAAAGACAGGTTTCTCCATACCAAATGTTGAAAGAGCATTTGCATAGTGTTGTTGACTTTTCATTTGGCGGTTTCTACTGAACAAAGTTCCTTGGAGGTCTTTAAGCAGCAGTTTCACACCTTGTTAAGTAACAGATCATAGCGGTATCATTTGGACACATATTTATTTTCTGCCATGTTTGACTTCGATGTGACCTTTGAGACGAAAAGCCCTGTTGACATAAAGGAGGCCCGCCATAGTTCTCTTTAATAAGTTACCATGTATTCTGTTATGTGTGGCTGAGCTTCAGAGAGCACGGCAGAAAGGGAACACTGACCACGTTCAGAAATTACTAACCAGCTGCAAAGCTTTTCAGAAGCACAGTGTTTGAGCTGGAGGGAGAGAAAAGGGGGAGACAATGACAAAGGGAGACAAAGAGAGGAGGAGGCTCCAAGGGCACGAGGACTGCGCTGCCCTCATAATTGAGTCTAACGTTTATTAGAATCTCAGGTTTCCTCCCTTGTGCCAGCTACTGGTGACCCGTAACAGCAGAAGTTGAATGAGTTGATAAGGGGAATATTGTTTTTTGCCTGATGTATAACAATGCTATTTTAGGATTTGTATTATTTGTTATGTGGACATAGAAGGCACAGAAACATAAATGCTGTTTTCTCTTTGAAACATCATGTATGCTAAATATAATGTGACATTATGTAAGGCTCCAAGGACCAAAACCTTTTTAAATGTATAACTTTCTTACTTTTCTGACTTAACTTCTAGCAATCTTGAATTAAAGGTCCCATGTCATGGCCCTTTCTACTGATCATAATTCCATTGTTGAGGTCTACTAGAATAGATTTACATTGTTCAATGTTCCAAAATCACATTGGTTTCTCATACAGCATCTCTGTATAGAATGTGTATTCACTCTCTGTCCTACACGCCTTGTTGGAGCTCCTGCCCCCCCCCCCCCCCCCCCTCCCTATGAGCCCACTGTGCTCTGATTGGTCAGCTCGCCCACTCTGTTCTGATGAGTCCACCACCGTTACAGCGGAACATCAGTGATTATGTGTTACAATGGCGTTTGTTAGCAACCAGAAAATGACACCAGTAATGACAAACAGATGAGAATGCTGCATGGGGTCTGGGTGCCGTGTTGGCGGGACGTTGCGGGGCTCGCTGCTCCGCCCTTTGAGGCTCGAGGAGCGGACAGTGTGAGCTGGATTACTGGTGTTGTTTCCTGGATGCTGCGTGGGGTCTGCGAGACAGCGAGACACCGCAGACCTGTGCGGAAATCCGCGGAGCCGCGGCTGAGAAAAGATAAGGCTGAGTGAGTGGGTGTTTCTCAATGTCGAGGACGCTTCCTTGGTAGGACAAGTCCCTCCGAGTCAGGTCCTTCAGAAGCGATGCAAGAATCCTTCCTAGCCTCGGAAAACGAAGAATTGTGGAGCAGGCTAACAGGTGTGCGTCATATGCGAGGCCCCGCCATAAATGGAGTGCGATTTCCGCCAAAGATTTGGAAATTGGTCCGTGCGCAAAGCATTGTGGGGATTTGTTAAGACCGCAGAGTCTACACATGTGCAGCCTCAAAATTTCCCGCAACGAAGTACGCCGGCCTCGGTAGAATTCCAAGTATGCTGGACATTGGAACAGTCCTTCGGCGGCACTCAATGACGTAGTATCCTTGAAATAGTGGCTCTGGAGCAGCTTTCCTCGACATTGAGAAACACCCAGGACCAATCCGCGGAGCCGTTACGTCACTATGACTGTTACGTCACTATGACCAGGAAGAAAAAAATGGAAAAGAGAAATCTCCAACGAGGCGTCAGCATAGACAGGTCTTTTCTGTGTTAGAGATTTACTTGCTACAGGGTGTACTTTGAGGGTTTGTGACTCTGCAGACCGTTTACATGCAGAAAAAGCTACATAACACACAAGGGGACGGGTATTAACCGGAAAAGCATGACATGGGACCTTTAAGGATGGCTTCTCACATTGTCACCAGCCGAAGCCTCAAAATAGCAATGACATCCTTCAAATAACTTACAGCAAAGCCTTTGTTTATGTTATATTTTTTGTTGTTTTTACCTCCTATTTTCTAATATTCTAAACGTCAAACATTGAACATCTTTCTCCATATTGTAAGATTCCATATTATATATAAGTATAAGTATAAGTAAACCGTATCTAAAATGCCTGCTACAGCCTCCTATTAGCTTAAGATGACATCATAAAACATCTTGTTGTAGTCTGACAAACAGTCAAACCCAAACATTAAATTCATTGTAACTGTAAGATGAGGATAGTCAGCAAATTAGTTTGGCCACCTGGTGTCAAATATTTTGAATTGTTTGCTTTAATACAGTTCAGTGGTTGTCAAAACTGTTGCATATCATACATCTAATTGTTGCAGTTGCATTGTTGGTCTGTGAAAATACCAGGAACAACGATGGAAATAAGTCTTTGAGACTTTATCGCCCTATGCTTATACAAAGATAATTAATATATTACAAAGAAAAAAAAACAAGCCAATACTAAAACTTTTTCTCAAACTATTCAGACTTAAAGGGCATTCTGTTGTCGATCACAATACCAGTTTCTGCAGCATGTTAGAGACATTAAAAAGCTATAAAATGTGTGTTCTTACCTTGTTGTTGACTAAAGAAGATCAGATGTGAAACTGTCCCGCCATGCTTACAAACTCTTAACCTCCTCTATTTTATTCTCCTTCTCCTCAGGTAATCATGCACAGGTGCAGCATCTCTCTCTCTCTCTCTCTCTCTCTCTGTGTGTCACCTCTGTACTTCCCACTCCAGCACACACCCTCCTCAAACACACACACACCTAAAACCTGCCCCAACTAAGTGCAAATGTTGCAACCATGTGATTTAGAGAAGCCTTTCGTCTGGCCAACCCAGTCCATATCAAGATCACTGACATCAGGGTTATAATGTGAACTTGAGAGGTGAGCAGCTTTCCAAACTGCAGATAAATTCCCTTTATCAGTCTCGCTCTAAAACCCAGTCTTGTGTTAATGTGGAATTTGGACGCAGAATAGAGTTTGTATTTGAGTTTCTTATCCCTATTACATAACTAAAGTAAATGGAGAGTTGCATACTCTGGAAGTTCATGTGAATGAGGTGAGGGCCCTTGATGTTTTGCATGGATTGCATAGAATCTCAGTGAATACACGCGTACTTTGCAAGTTTGGTCTACATTCAAATTATCTGAAAGTAGGTCACACGAACGGCACGCTGCACAGCATTTTCATTCTTGAAATGAACAAAAATGTAATGTTATTCCTTTGGTTTTTCATAACAAAAAATGTGTGAGTTTAACTCAAATATCTTTCGGATTATGATGTGAACTTGCCTATATCCCCTTATTTATTTATCTTATTACTCAGCAAACTTTGGGTTCAGGGAAAAGTCATGATTGACCAACAGAGAGGATGGGACACATTCATATTAAAAATACCTATACCTCTGTCTTAAGTTTGTTTGTTTTGGCCTTGCTCACTCTTCACTGAAATGTCCAATACTGATCAAGAAAGCATTTTGAAGGACATTTGAAACAAATCCATCAAATAATCAAGATACACACATCCATCCATTAACATCCACAATCAATAACATACATAATCAGTGTTCTATTTTGTATTTATTTTAGAAAACATAATTTACAATGTTTGACACAAGGACAAAAAAGAGATCATGGTAAAATAAACATTCCATAATATACATAACTCCATGCTTACTAGGCTGATATACGTAACGTGGTAACTGCTGGCTTGTCTGTTTGTTTATCTTTTTATCAGCAAAATACAGTATCTTGCTTTGCCTTAAATTATAATCTCAGTTATAGGTCGACACCGCCCTCTAGTGGCGAATTGTAGATTTGCAACTAAAGATCTGAACTGTCCACCAATCAGCTGCAGGTATCAGCACAGTGTCGTATCATTGGCCAGTCCTTATAGCAGATGTAACATCACCTCCTTCTATTGGTTCTCCTTCCTCGTAACGTGTCATAAACAGTGAAGTCCAGATGGTGACAATAATTGTGAATTAAAACCTGATAAATAAACATATAATGAAGCCGTAACATATTGTAAGTACTTTGATTTTGAGGACGTAAAGAAAACATGGAGGTAAGATGAAGTCTTCTTGATTTTGATTGTTTATTAAATCTTACGCTAGTAAGCTAACGTTAGCTTACTAGCTGTCAACCAGTCAAAGTCCAGCAACTAAAACATAAATATTTCCCGAAGATATGCAATATAGAAAGTTTGACATGCGGTTCTGTGTAGGGCATTTAAGATCGAATATTGCACCCTAATGCGATTTATTTCTCCAGAACTAAGGTACAGCAACAAAAAAAAAAAGAGTAGCTAATAAATGTATTATTAATGTTTTCTCTGTCTTTCTGACTTCAACAGAATATTCAAAGCCTTCCAATTGACATACAGACCAGCAAGCTTTTGGGTAAGGCGCGAAAATAAAATGAGTTGCTGTCTATCCATATGTTACTTTACTTATGTGCAATGGTGGAAGACGTGTTCAGAACATTGAGTAAAAGTACTAATAATGTGAAAACACTCCACGACTAGTGACTTCCTGCATTCAATACTTCTCTTAAGCCAAACTGTGTATCAACAAAATATTTCCCTAAATGCTTATGTGTAAACTAAACTCTTTTCATACCTTTCACCAACCTGCAATCTGAATCAGATGATGCCAGATGAACGGTTATTACTGATGTTGAATCATGTGTCCACAGACTGGCTGCTGGACCGTCGTCACTGCAATCTGAAATGGCAGACTGCAGTGAAAGAAATCAGAGAGAAGATCAATGCTGCCATTCAGGACATGCCAGAGAACGAGGAGATCAAGCAGCTCCTCTCCGGCTCCTGTAGGTCCATTATAACCCCAGATTGTTGTCTATTAACATCTTTTACATTGAAGTTACAGAGATGAGCATCCATTTTTAGAGTTGCAACATAAAAATATTTCTTTTAATACTTTTTGCCATGCAACAGATGAAGTATATGTTGCAGCTTTAGTCCTCGGCTGTTTTGATAAATGTTTTGTTGTGCAGTAAAGGTAACTTGTGTTCAGTCCTCCTTCCTGTTCCTACTCTGTATGAAGGCTTCTAAATGTGCACTCTTTGTTTCTTTTGTTTGTTTTTATTGACAGACATTCACTACTTTCACTGCTTGAGGATAGTGGAGCTACTGAAGGGAACTGAGGTCTCCTCTAAGAACATCTTTGGCAGATATTCATCTCAGAGGATGAAGGTGAGCAGATTCGAACGAGCTGCTATTGTCCGTTGGAGTTTCCAATTAGTACCGCATACAAAGAGGGGCTTTCTTTGTGTTCTGTTCCTCTGCTCTAAAACCACTAAAGAATCCTAGCATTCAGATTTGAATTGTGTTTATTTTTGACAGGACTGGCAAGAGATTGTGTCCCTTTATGAGGCAGATAATATCTATTTGGGTAAGTGTATTATCTTTATGTATTTTTCATTGTATAATATCTGTATGCACTTTTAGAGTCCTCTATATATTATAAGGTAGGCAGGCTATTTTAGCAATCAAAACATATTTAAATAATTTAAGTTCTTTATTGCTGCCGATCAAATTATGCTACACTATTATAGGAAAATTACATAAGGCTATAAAAAAATGTATTGCATGTATAAAGTTTTTTATTTATTTATTTTATTTCTAAGATGGACATAACAAGAAAAAGTAACTAAAAAAACAATAGGCGTAAGGTAGAAAATGAATTAGTGTTAATTTATTTGATGCATGTGTTTCTACAAAATACGTAGTGTAACCATAGGAACACATGCATGCACATGGTCTTGCATCAGTACATGATTTACTCTAAAAATAAATATACTTTTACAAAAAAGAAATGTTCCCTTACTCCTGATGGATTCTCTATTTTAAACCCACACAACTGGGTGAACATTTGAAAGGCCCGGAGAGATTATTATGGATCTAATAAAGTATTTTATTACAAAGGGATGATGCTGGGATTATTTGAGTCCAGGAATAACCTTATCATACCCCCTGATCCCATTCAAAGTTGTTTAAATTAACCAATGTGATCCCAGCGGAGGTGGCCAGCTTGCTGAGTCGCAACGTGAGCTATGAAGGGCCGGCTCTGAGGAAGCAGCTGGCCAAAGCTCAGCAGCTGCAGCAGGAGCTGAGCCGGCGGGAGGTGGACTGCCAGAGCTCGGCCGCAGACCTGAGGGAGCGCTACTACACCGCCTGCAAACAGTACGGCATCACGGTAAGTAGAAGAACATTAGAACTCACTGTGCTCTGTGTAGACATGCTTCATCTTGATGACTGTTTCTCCTCTGGCAGGGAGAACATGTGGCCCGGGAGCTGCAGGCGCTGGTCAAAGACCTGCCAGCGGTTCTGGATCAGGTTGGGAGGGATGCAGCGAAGTTTGAGGAGCACATCAAACTTTATACAGCGTTCACAAACTTTGTATGCGAGTGGTGAGTATATAACAAAATACAGTCCTACATACCTTACATTTTTAACTGTTTTTATTCACATGCACACATCCCTAGTAGCAGCAGATAAAACATTTGCAGCTCCTAAAATAAGAAAAATGTTTTGTCTGTTGCTTATAATTAAAGAAAACAGGAACAGCTTTTTGTTTGTCACAACCTCACATCTTGTCATCTGTAGGTCTGAACCAGTCCTGCCCATGCTGACATTCGCCCAGCAGAAAGGGAACACAACGTTTTATGAGTGGAGAACGGGGAACGTCCCCACGGTTATTGAGAGGCCAGTTGTGGAGGAAGCACCTTCTGAAACAGTCACAGACGATATGGTGGGTCCTAATGTCTCTATACTGAGTATTAATAAGGGGATACATACAGTTGAGGCCACAATTATTAGCCCCCCAGGAGTTATGGAACATTTTCCTAAAATTCTTCCCAATGTTTCCAGCATTGATAAAAACTTGATATAATCAAACATTCACCAGTGCTAGTAGCTTTTGGTACATAAAATACGTTTTTAGGCTTGCTTTATATCAAATATAGTGAAAAATGGGTTGGTCAAAAATATTAGCCCCCGTATGAATTTTTGCTTTTCAAAAACACACCAAATCAATCAATCAGCTTTCAAACCACACCTAATCAACCAATCAGCTCTCAAGCCACACCTGAGCATTCAATCAGCATAAAAGGACTCCAAGAAACAGGCACTTGAATACCTTATTGAGAGGGACTATACTACTACTCCTACTCACCATGCCAAAGACAAAGGAAATCAGTCTTGAGCTCAGAAAGAAGATAGTGGAGGTTCATGATAAGGGGGAAGGCTATATTGCTATTTCCAAGCGCTTCACAGTGTCTAGAACTGCTGTACGTTGCATCATTGCGAAGTACAAGGAGACAAATTCTGTAAGAAACAAACCTGGGCGTGGTCGAAAGCGCAAGATTTCAAGAACTCTGGAGAGGAAAATAGTCAGAGATGTCAGCAAGAATCCCCGGACATCTGCCAAGATGATTGTTGCTGACCTGGGGCCTCGTTTATAACGCCTTGCGTAGGATTCACGTGGGAAGGTTGCTTACGTAGTACAAAGCAAAAAAATAGGTACAGAAATGTTCCGACATTTTCCGATTCACAAAACATTGCGTACCGGTGAGGGAAGTGCGTACGGCACTTCCTACGCCTGTTTCCCTTTATAAATCACAATCGACTCGAAATGCGGCGCAGCTTTTGCAGGCTTCACGTAACGCCCATATTTGCCTATAAATAGTCAAA